CCCCCCCCCCCAAAAAAAAAAAAGTTTCCTATTAAAAGTATCAAGTTAATATAAAAAGTTAAAAATTAATGACACCATCACAGTTTATATTATATATAACATCATTTCAGGCCAATTTATTACAGGCAACAAAAATGCCTTAAAAGTTGCTACAATAACACCTTCTGAAAAAAGTCAATTCAAAAAGATAACATTTCAAAATCTAATAATGAAAACATGACTGGTGTATAAATATCTTTAATTGCAACAAAACATGGATCAAAAGTCTATCCTGACATTTCTACTCATGCACAAATAGAAAAATTATCAGGATTGTACCATGTAACTTGAGAATTAGGAGCGATAAGATTAAAGACCTTTGGGGGTTATATTTGTACAAGCTTCAGGAGTGAAAGAATAAGTATAAAAAGGACAGAGCAGACCATAACATTATACTGTATTATCTCATTTCATCCCTCTGGCTGAGTCAATCTAATATTGGACAGAAAGGGAATGCAGATACACTGTTCTAGGCTGATCAGAAAGTTCCAGTTAAGGCATATAGATAGATCATTTATTTCAACATGTGTAGAGTGAAAAACCTTATGATAGTATGTAACATACACCTACTCATTTCTCTTTGCCAAGTGTCCGCCTCTACACTCTATACATCGTATGTGTTTTGTAGAAGTATGTGAAGCAAGAAATAATGGTATATTGCTGTTAAGATAATTATATCTCAATGGTGTCTGAAATGATCTATAACAGTTTTCAACAAAAACACATGGTTTCTTATCAATTTTTATTTAAAAAATTGAGCTAATTTAGTTAATAAATAATTAATAAATGATAATGAAAATTGAGCTGTTTTGGCAGAGGTCTGTAATCTCTGGTTGCTTCTCTTGTTTTAAATTATTTATTTATTTACTTTTGGTATGCCAATTATGATCTCATATTTCCCTCTCAAATGCTAGAAAGACAGATGGCAAAACAAGATTTGTCTTGAATTTACATATTACCTCTGCAAAGGAGGTTATGTTTTGGGGTCTGTATATGCCGTCTGTTGGCAACATAATGCAAAAAATGTGGAAAATTTTAATGGAATTTTAAGGAACTGTTGATGACTTCATAAGGTGACTCTAATGTGAAGTCTAATGTGCTACAAGTGATGACCAAGATCACTCCAATGTACTTTGTTTTCTGGTATTAATTCATTTTTATAACATAATTACTCAACAATACACAGTGCACATATTGAATATGTACCAATTGATGCCACAATGATGGCAATTTATAAAACTAGACAGCAAAGCTGAAAACAGACACCAAAGAGGAAGTAACATCAAGAAAACACATGCAAAAAATTAATCATTACCATAAAAGTAAATAGAAATATGGTTTGTTACTTAAATGAGGCAAATGTCATCAAATCTGTGCAAAGAAAAAAAAAATTGTTGCAGTAAATGTAAAGTGATCATGCTAATTTTTGAAAGCAACCTGCCTCTTTACCAAACAAAGCCACTCAGTAAATTAAAAGTAAAACAGAAAATACAGTTTTGCAGTAATGGAGCAAACAAAACGTCACCAAATTTGTGCAAAAAAACAGAATAATTACTTGTACAAAAAACCAGAATAATTACCGTAAATGTACACCAATCATGCCCATTTTCAAAAGCAATCTGCCTCTTTACCAAACAAAGCCAGTCAATAAATTAAAAGTAATGAAAAAAAAAGGGATAAGAAGTTATGGGGCGAACGTCACCAATATTGTACAAAAACCAAGAATAATTACCGTAAATGCAAACCGATCGTGCTGATTTTGGAAAGCAACCTGCCTCTTTACCAAACTCTTTTGGCAGTTATGGGGCAAACGTCATGTGTCGGACACTGACAGCAACGTGACGACACGGACAGACAGATCAAAATATATAGATTCAGACACTTAAAGTGCCTGTATATAATAATTTCAATGTGATATTTTTCATCATACTGGCTCTAATCCATAGAGAATTAGGCTCATACTCATGCAAAACCAGTTTTTACCAAATGTAAACATGCCTAATATCTCACCTGCTGCTGTTGATTCATGTCATCAATAAATCTCTGGTTTGATTCCACTATATCATTGTCCAATCTATGATATCTGTTTTGCTGTTGGCCAGAGCCATTGGAATGCAACAGTGACTGAAACAAACAAAATAACAAACTTCCATTTCAATATGTGACAATATTGTGTAGGGTTGCTTTTTCAAACTATCAGTAATTTCATAAACAAATTCAATCATGCAGATTTTTGGTAGAAAACTGCCTTTTTATCACATAAAGCCACTTAGCAAAGTTGAAGTAAATACACAGATTGGCCCTTGGGGAGCAAAGGTTGGCACAATTCACTCACAAAGAAATGCTATTAAATAAAAATTAAATGATATATATGTGTACCAAGTTGAATTTCCAAATTACCCAGAAGTATCTTACATATTAATATCCTGCTTTCAGATTATTTTTGTGGCCACACAGAGAAAAAAGTTCATGTCAACCTAGTCAGCATCATAAGGTTTACCCTCAAAATGCATAACTTGAAGATATATAAAGAATATATCATTATCACAAATCACACCAGCCATGGTCACTGCTAGTATCAGTGCATGTATTAATTCCCTTACTAACCTGTTTTTCTCTGGAATTGTCTTTGATTTTCACTCTTGGGTTGGCTAAGTGATCTTTCATTTGCTGGATAGAAAATAAATTTAATTTTGTCATGCTGTTATGAATTTTGAAAATTACAAAAGTAAAAATCCAACGAGGCACTGTGAAACATGAATTTTTCAATATTCACCAACCGTTCTTGTAAAAGCTCTGAATTACTCATTGTAAAGATATCGCGATTCTTTAATTGGTCTTAGTAGTAATCTGTCCATATATGGATATACTGTTCAATAACATATGCTAAATATAACAATGGGTGGAGAATTGTCATTAAGATCTTACTTTTACTGATGATCTTGCATTTTCTATAAATTTTCTCCTTTCCTGTATTTCACCAGGTCCAATTTTAAATTTCCTGGGGTTCTTCTCAACTATTCGTACCAGGATTAAGGAAAACAACAACGTTTTCGAAATAATTTGCTAAATCACAAGACAGTGATAGCCTGACTATTCAGCACACAAATTTCCCTCAATTTGTGTGTGCTTTCCTTTCTTCAACTCTGATGTCTGGCACACCTAGTTGAAACTGTTAAGGGGTAATTAACTATCATTTAGCATCTTCAGCACTACTGTTATTGTGGGTATTCAGAAAATGTAACTAGCACAAGTTCCAAAACCATGTCATACCTGAAAATTCCAGTTTGTAAAGAATGGAAAATTAGTATAAAAAAAAAAGATTTCAGGAAAAATATTCCAAACAAACAGGTTTCTGCACACTGATACATTTTAGTCCTATGATTTATTGCTATATATTTAAAAATAGTGAGTGCATGAACAAAAAGTCCAGGAAAGTGCACAGCCACATCATGATGATGGTGAACTCAACAATATGCAGCTGATGGCAGGTCTCTGCCAATACAAAAAGGAAAGTGGAAAAAAGCAAAAAGTAATCTCTTTCAAAAACTTGTGTCAAAGGGATATCAACTGTCTCCTCCAGATCTTCCAAGTCCCACTCAATGCTGCGTAAACTATTTCTGAGTTCATTCAGGGTCCATTCATACTCCTCACTGGCTCCTGTACCCCCAACCTCCAACAGCTCACACCAACGGTCATATAAGCCCCTGGATGTCTTCAGGGCCTTTTGCACCTCCCTTTTGACAGAAACAAATAAAGAAAATAAATGTTCAGCTGGCATTAACCTAAGTGTATTGTTTATTTGTAAATTAAGCTGAGATAAAGTGACAAATTTTACTCAGTACCATGTTATCATGTATTTTCTGGTCTATTGGCCCTTTAAAAACTTTTCCAGGCATTTTTTTTTTCTAAAAGCATCGAATACTTGTCCATTTCCAAAATGACATCAAAATGAGTCAACTAGCATATCAATGTTTAATCACTGCTCTGTCTCATACTAATGCATCCTGCCAAAATAAGTATCAAATAGGATGCTAAAAAGCTAGGTATATCTCAGATGTGTATTCTACTAATAACTGTAAATCAAATGAAATTTGGCATAGAAAACTTTTCAAAAATATAATGAAATAATTATTTTAAGTTCCAAACACATTTTTGACATATGTAATAGAGAATAAAAAAGGTATTGTATATTCAATGAATATTCTTTCAGCAAGGCTAGCATTTAAATTATTCTCACGCCACCCACTCATTTTAACTGCTCTACTACAGTTATATCTAAATTCCTTTACATTATTTAAATATATTTTCATGTGAGAATTTCATTTTCTTTGTTCTGCAATCAAAATAACAAAAATAAGTTCTTTCAACAACAGGTAAATCAGAATTATTACCACTACAATACTGCACTGATTTGTTGAATATCCAGACAAGAAACAATGGCTTTAAATATAAAATATCAGTTCTGTAGCACAGCGTGACAAGCGATGATATGGACTGCCTTTGTCGTGCTGACGTTAAACTGGGCACATATCCGTTGATCCAGTTCATACTTATTCTCTGACCAAAAATAAACATCTACTGTCGTCTGTCGAGTATGTTATTATTAATATTAGTAAACGTACAAAATACACGGTGTCATTTATCGCGCTGACGTTAAGGAAGCAAACGTCAACTCATACTTACTCTCTGACCATAAAAAACGGATCTTCTAAAGACATGGCTGCTGTTTTACAATAAAATCACAAAATGGATGTTTTAGTGAAACAAATCTGGGTCAAACGTGAAAATATTTCTACCAAATCGTCGCAGCCGTCACCTCCTCCACCGGAAGTCGTGCATCATTGATGGTTTTAGTCATGTGACGTTTGACGTCAGATTTTACGAGGGAATCCCGTCTATAAATAGATTATAACCTCCAAACGTCCTAGAAATATGTTGGTTCGTATCATTGATGTAAAACTGTCACTTTAAATAAATATCAAGATGAATGAAATACTACTTTCAATAATTTCTCATTACAAGTAGCCCTAGCGCGAAATTCATGTGTAAGCACTCCTTTTACGGTTTCTGATATTTTCTCTGTACTAACGCATGAGAACAAAGACTTCAGAATTTTTGACAATAAATGTAAAATGATGACCAGTCTATCGCGATGAAGGAGCTCTCATATCTAATCTGTCATCTTCTTAACTTTCATACTCCTGTAAAGCCAACCAGTTTTCTCGTTGACATAAACATGATTAAGTTAAGAATAAGATACATCTGCATGTCCACCTTTCATCACCCAAACCCAATATAGAGGTGCAATTGATGCCACAGGCATGCTCTTAAAATATTAAGTGCACCGATTGTAAACTACGTTTGCTTATTTTAGGGTCCCACATGAAGAAATATGTATCAAAGTTTCACTCTCCTGGAACCATGAATAATAAAAAATAATTCATCGTCTATCCCCAAATAGGAACGTATGTTACTGTCACAAATGCAAGACATCCAGCTGTGTAACATTTTACTCCCTTTGAAAATTTAATCATCACTGGTTTTATCTCCTACATGTAAAACATTGTAAAAAACTGTAATAATCTTCTGTATAGAGTAGTTAATTGTTCTTGAGGAACTTTAGTTTGCTTGTCACTGTATATTAAAAAAGTGGGGCAAATACCAACAGTAAAATAAGCATGAAATTAATTATTTTCTCCTTGTGATCCAAATATTATATCAGAAATGTCAAACTATCCTGGAATCACAATATATATTTTTAGTTGGTAACAGAAAACCGTTTCTTATTGCATCAAGTACTTGAACAAAATTAAACTTTTTAAAAATTTTTCTGGGGGAACGTATATGTTACCTAGTATTAGCCATGACACAAAGCCCCTTGAGTTATAGTTTAAATATTAGAAAAAACATTCTTACATCATGTATAATTTACCATGACTGAATCACTAAAATATATATCGTAATGAGGTATGTATATTAAAATTTAATTGACCCAGAACATACATTACCATACGTTTCCGGAACATACATTAACATTTAGGGCTCTTTGCATAACGTAAAGACATGGTAAAAATTAAAATCTGAATTTAAATTGAGACAGTCATTGATTTTTGTTCCATACACATATATGTTTTAAAAAATTCAATACAACTTTGAATTCATTTAATTTTACTTTTGGACACTTCAGGATGTGAAATGCACCCCTATATTGGGTTTGGGTGTCATGCGTTAGCACAGCGTACATATCAGATACAGTAAATAGGAGTGCTAAAGCATGAATATCGTGTATAGGTAACCCTATTAATCTCCCCTTTAATCTTAAAGGTATCCTCTAATTTGTGCAAAATCAAAGTTTTCCTTGAAATTTAATGCTTTAGACCATTTCTTGTTAGGCTTTGGGACAACAAACATGGATGGTACACTGTGTATGGCTTTAATGTACAGGTACTGGGAGAGGGGGGTTGTCCTGATACCCTAATTAATGTTAATGATGAGTTAATATATTAAGTTTATTGATTTGTTGACTTATTATTAAACTCATAAATTAACTTACTACTTAATCAACACCCAAATATAGCCATTTTTACCTATCCTGAAAAAATTTAAATCAAAAGCTCTCCAAAGCCTTTTGTATCATGTTACTATGAACAGACAGACAAATAATTCACCATTAATTAATAAGAGAAATACCAAAATCTAATCATTTTTAAGTAAGCCCATTTCTGACCTGTACTGTACTGAAAAATTCATTAAAACCCATCCATGACTTTTTATGATAGGCTAGTAGTGACAAACAGACAAATGAAGGTGAAAACATAACCTTTCTGGCAGAGGTAATGAAACAGTACTTACAATATGAAATTGACATGGAAAACACAAAATGAGTTTGAAAAGTTCCATCCATAACAGAGATAAAAGCAAGTAAGCAACCTAAATAAATTTTATTCAAAACATGAATGCCCTTCTGTTTTCATTCTTAGCAATAGTTTTCTTCAAAATAATAGGATAAAAAAAAAAAAATTTTTGTGATCACAGACTGATTAATCGCAACAATAATAGTCATTTTGGCAAATGGAGTCTTAGGGTGTATTCCCAGAGATTTAGCTTAATCCAGGGATTAAGATTTAGATCTACCCAACTCCCTGGGGGTTCACGCTAAATTGCAGTCAGCCGAGCGCGCACCATAGTTTATTACCCCTTTACGGCCTCAGTGGGTGGGACAGACACTTAAGCTGGCTAAGCTGACAGTAATCTAATGAGACTCCCCACAGGGATAGATCGATCTAAAATCTATGGAACTGGGGTCTTAGCCAACTGATATCAGACTCAACCATACAGAATAAATGAGCTTAACTTAAGACTTAAGAGTCAAAAATAAAGAAGGAATAAGCACTTGGAATATTCAACAAAATGATTTTTTTCTAAATATTTTGATAAAAAAATAAATAAGTGAAAACAAGGCAGCAAAACTGTCAAATGTACTGACAAAAAGCAGAAAATAATGATGCGCAAGGTAATTTTGTCAATTTTGATTCAATAATAAATCATGTTTAAACAGCAAAGTCAACACCAAATTTAAATTACCCATGACAGGTAGCATGGTTGTTAGGAATAGGTAGTTACCGTAAGGTTTCAGGTCCATGAGACTTTAAATTCACACATTGAAAGTGCCAGAACGAGAAAAATGAATATTTAAAAAAAAAATGCATAAATTCAAGAAATATAATCCTATCAAGCTGGTTTTCCCATTTGAGATGTATGCCAATCCTATAAATCATTTTTTAAAGTTACAAGCATATGAGGTGGAAATGCACAAAATAGTTTTCTTGTCAATTTTTATCCAATAAAAGTTTACAGGAAAGAGCATTGTAGGGTTTCACTTTGGGGAGTAAATGGATACTCATCACTTTGTATTGTGCAATATCACCTTGTGACATCATCATGGCTTCTTTGCTTTCATAAATGTGCACAGTGAGTGTACATTTCTCAAATTTATTCTTGTTATCATAGTAGCTATTGTTTTAGTGTGATCTGGGTATGCATAAAAACAATGAGTCAGCATATTTTATGTAACAAAGCTGTTTATCCGGTTACTAATAAATTTTGGAGTTGCCTCCCTATCCAAAATTGACAAACACCAAATGGTTATTCATCTTGAAAACTTTCATGCTATTGTCAACTTTTGCAGAATTTTTAGGCTTAGCCACTTGACTATAACAAAAATTTCAAGAATCCAAGCCAACACTTATTAAGTGTCAATATATATATATTAACGTTTGTAGATGCATTTGAAGTTAGTTGACATGGCAAATCAACCAAATGCCACCATTACAGGGAATCTTAGAATCTCTTCGTATACAACTTTAAACTTTAAATTTTCATATGAAGCAAGTGTGGATTCCTAGTGTCACTGCTACCAGTATCTCACACAACTCAAAATATCCCAGTACCTTTTTCAAACTTCTGGGCGTAAATTTGACCTACTTGTCCATTCCTCCAGTTTGTAAAAGTCCATCAAATAATGTAGCAATGTATGATGCATTATACTGCTGCTGCCACAACAGCATAATTATTCAAATGAGGTTTGGTGAAAGTTACAGAGGATTACATATATATATATATATATATATATATATANATATTAAATGATAACTGAATATAGAATTTATAGGAATGTAAAACAGATGACAAATTTAACTGATATAACTTCTGCTTAACAAATGGAAGTCACCAGCAATTTATCAAAAAAATTCATAATAATTATGATAAATCAAATACTATAAATGTTGTTATAAGAAAATACAATAAACATATATCTGATTTATAGTAATAACTCATTAATACAGTTAATAAAATCAGTTTATAGACATTGCATAGACATTATCACTGGAAATGTATCATTTTGAATAGGCTTCATATCTCATAATCAACTAGAAAAGCACTCCAAGAGCGTAGACCTCTGCCAAGGTAGCAAAGTCTCCACCCAATGCCGTTTCACCCCTAAATTTTCATTCTATAATGACTTTGTTTTTTGATTATTGATTATTGATTGATTATTGATCCGGATCACCACCAAAAACTAATCATCTGTTCCTTGGCCCACTTCTGAGAGTTCCTGAAAATTTCATTGGTCCATAACTTTTTTGAGTTATGTTGATGACAGACAGACAGACAGACAGAAAGACAGACAGACAAACAAACAGGGTTGAAAACATAACCTCCTTGGTGGAGGTAACAAAGTAAGTACGATTAATAATAAAGATCACACTTCCAGGTATGAACAGTCAAGTTGATTCTAAATCATATATCTTGAACGTTCTCAATTAGGTGACATTCTTTCCTCTCTTAAAAATTAAATCCCTTCTGATCACAATTTTCAACTTTCCTCTAAAAAGACATACAATCTCTTCAAAATTTTCACACAATGTATGTCTTTGAGTTAAGATTTTGATATGTAACTTGATTCAGACAAGATAATCAAATCAGGTCTGTTCCTGTCTGGAGGAAATATAACCTTCCAAAGAAACATTATACTGTTATAATGAAAATATACCAGAAATAAAGTTATTTTATGAAATTAACAGAGACAGACCTATAGATAAAGATGTGGTCTAAATTCAACAGGCTTAATCCAAATATTCATTATAATAATATTCTTTACAAGAATAACCTTTAAAAAGGTGAAAACTTTAAACTCTAATTATGTTCTAGAAAAAATAAGAAATGGATTCAGCTTATTACAAAAGTAATCAATTTCCCTATGCATCAAAGATGCTAAAATTTTAAACTTGAAAATATATTATCATCAGACATAAGATAAGTGGCACATGGTTTCAATCAATGAAAATTTTAATCATACTGAGATGTCAATCTAATTGGTCCTCCAGAGGATGAGGTCGGCATATTGCAAAACTTTCCCTTTTCTTCGCTTTTTTCAACATCCTTGTAGCTTGTTTGCTATGAACTTTTATGGAACTTTTAGATGTTCTGAAATTAACCTCATGTTCTTTTTCAGTGTCACCCTTAATGGGTCTTTGGTCATTTGAATCAGCTATAGTAGCAGTTTCTGCACTTTTTGTGTCATCAGCATCATTTGTTATACTTGTTATGTCCCCTCTGATGGCTGCCCCAGAGTTGCTTTTACTGTTATTCTCTGCAGTAGGATCGGCTTCAGCCAAAGTGATTTTCGAAGTTTTAGGAGGCAAATAGTCATAATCAGGAAATATCTTCCTGCACAAAATATTCCCAAACCTGTTGAACATTTTATCAATGAACCACTTTTGATCACTCTCATGCTGTGTCAACCGATAAAAATCATCCTCCATTTCTTGTTGATGTTGGTCTTCTGGATCTGCAAAAACTGTTCCTTCTGGCACGTCTTTGTCTTCACACAATCTCTGTGGGCACAGGACGTTCAGTGCTATATAAACTTCATATGTCTTAAACATAATTGCATTGATTTCTCTCCCAGGGTCAAACTCCTGGCCACCTACATCTACCCACACATGACGTCGAATTTGTTCCGATTGACTAGAAGTCTTTGTGATCCAATATCCCAATTTCATGCAGGATTCTATCTTACGTTGTCGAAGATTGTAATAAAATGAAAAAGCTCCTATGAGAGCATTATCAAAGACTCCATGTTTTCCTATTGCTTTGGTTACATGGCGAAATATTTTATGAATTTTACATTTTTCCCTGTGTTTTGCCCAGTGGTTTGTCTGGCAATTTCTGTCACAGTAGTAAGCCCTATGACATTTACTACATTGCTTTGTGCAGTCTTCTTTTTTACAGTTCCAGCATGCTTCTGGCATGGCATCTACATCTAGTTATGCTCCACTGGAGATATGACACAATCTGGAAGGGAAAATATTTTCAAAATTATAATTTTTTTTAGATTTTGTATTTCATTACAAGTATGATCCTCAGGTAAAGGTAAGGGACAATTTCATACTTGAGTGAAGAATATTCATTCATAATATGAAGAATTTTATCTCTGCCACTAGAATTATATTTGGTATATGGGCACTGACTGATCATTGATATTCAATACAGAGAAAGAGGGGCAATTTCCACCTATGTGTGTATAGAACTATTTCTAATTTTCCCAATCCTAAAAAGGAAATGGGTTTGAGGCATCCTCCTACTATAAACATTTTTGACCTAAATGGCTCCCTGTCTGGAATTATGATATAATAAATGGTAAATTAATGATTGTAACCCTAATGGTGCTTTTTTTTTTTTTTTTTTTTTTTTTTTTTTTTTTTTTTTTTTTTTTTTTTTTTTTTTTGCTTATTATAATATGCAAATACATATGTTAATACTCGCATTCACATTTTCTGATTGCAGAAAATATGCGCAGGAGTGCAAATTAAGGCCAGACAAAATTAATGGGCTGGTCAGCCAGCACGGCAATGTAATTGTGTCATGGAAAAAATGTGTTGAGTATTTCTGTTGTACGTGTGAGAAAATTTAATTACATGTAACTACTGAAAATCCTTACTACTGGTACGTTTAAATTATATTATATTTATGTTGTAAAATCGCCCACACTGTGTATTTGACATTCCATCCCCCTGAAAATGAAAGAGAATTAAAACTGGATTTTTTAAACATTAAATAAAAATAAATAAATAAATAAATAAACATAATTTTGATCGTCGACCTTGTTTAATGAGATTTGCTGTTCGTTAACCAACTTAACACTGCCTCAAGCTCCAAGCCTACGGGATGAATTTTTACGGATGTTGATGCTGCTGCACTTTAGCTGTCTTCTTCGAATTCGACTATAACACCACAGAAGGCTAAATTAGGGAAAAAGTAATCTTCGTGATGTTATATTATAATTATAAAAAGTTTCTTACCAACTACTGAAAAGTGGTCACAAATGTTTTCCGACCTTGACCTTTGATCAGGCATTGATATCTGTACTTATTTCGCTGAAGAGCACAACGTGGACCAACGCCGTAAGCAACAAGCATGGTTAGAAAATTAAAGTTTCACGAGAAAAAGTTGTTAAAAAAGGTTGATTTTATATCATGGGAGGTAGACAACAATTTACACGAGGTGAAGGTGATGAAAAAATACTACATACAAAAGAGGGAAGACTACACAAAGTAGGTTAATCTCGCTCTCATTCACTGTTTTAATAGGATCCAAATTCCTTTTAGTGTTGGTGTACTGTTATGCGAACATTTTGATGTATGCCATTGCATTACCATTGTCTCTGCTAAGAGTTGAACTCCCGAACGATTTTGGTTAACAGTATAGAATTTTGTATAATTTTGGTGCATATATACAGTAGATAGCTACCTGTTTGAAGGCGTTAAACCGTTGAATTTTAGAGTCATCTTATTTAGGAAACAAAAATAGATATTCACGTTTTAACACCATGTTTGCCATTTTTAAAGGGGTCGTCTCTTTAAGTCTCTGCATTGTTACTCCCCAACAAGATGATATCTGTTGCAAAATTATAACATCGCCCACTTCATTATGCTCTGTAAAGATAACAACCTCCGTTGAACCCCCCTCTTCAATTGTTTTTTTTTTTTTTTTTTTTTTTTTTTTTTTTTTTTTTTTGATAAGAATGAAAAAATGTTGCCTCCTTCAGGCAAGGTACAGTTATGGGATTTTGGTCTGCAAATATTGGAAAATACAAATTGGTCTAAAGATTTTTATTTCCGACCTTTCTGAATGTTATCTTAATGGCTCTACCAAATTATTATTTTATTTTCCAAAATGTTTTAGATACAACAAGCTATCAAGATACGTAAGGGAACTGGCAAACAAGATCAAAGAGGTTGACATTAAAGACCCTTTCAGGACAGAAGCTACATCTCAGCTGCTGGAAAAATTGTGAGTTTTGCTGAAAAACGGCGCACAAAGTCTACTGGGGACATCAGTGTTTCCTTTTATATGTAAATGACATATTCATCTCATAAGTCTATTTTCCAAAATGAAGATCTTCAGAGATTTGGACATTTTGGCATTATATATATTTTGATTTGAAGAAATGATTTTGTTGTATGATAAACACTGTGACTACTATGGTGAGGCAATCAAGATTTTTGTGGTATTTATGGACAGTTCACTGTGGCTGGACTTGTTACTTGCATGTGTCATTGCAGTTAGCATCTTTGTGCATATAACTTTCTAACATTTTAAAAGGAAAACTTGCTTACTATTTTCAAATTGCACAATAAAAAATTGGTGGTGATTATTTAAATGTTATTAGTTATGCATTATAATGTATAAAACACCCATGTTGTGCACTGTCATTGTTAACACAGTAAATAGACAAATTTGTGCTTTATTTTCCTCAAACATACAAGATTGATTCATAGGAAAAAAATATAGCTCAAGTTCCAAAGCCAGCTAAATTGAATTGTTTTTCATTTGTAAAATAGAGAATTTAATTAAATGTAAATTACTTCAGACATTCCATGGGACTGATTCCAACAAAGAGAAGTTTAGCCTTAGCAGATAAAGTCAATGCCTCTGCATTTTGCAGGTAAGGTTTTAATATAACAGTTAATCATGAAAAATATTTAGGTTCTGTCTACGCTACTTAAAGCCTTAAAGCAATTTCAGAAAAAGTGAATTTTTATATATTTCTGTAGTATTCATGCATTTTGTTTCAATATGTATTGTAAACAAATGAATTCTACAAGTAGAGAATTTACATTTACTTTATTTTGTTTTCCAGACGACGTCTCCCAGTAGTAATGGTAAGAAACCACATGGCAGAAACTCTCAAGTCGGCTACTACATTCATTGAACAGGGACGTATCCGTTTTATCAGTACTATCATGCAGATTTATTATTGATATGTAGAACTACTGTAAAAAAAGCATATATTGAGACCATGATAACATGTACTTTAAAACTGAATTTAACCAAATCAGTGGTAAATTGGCAAAAGCAAATTAATGTGCAAACTTTTGTCTTTTATTAAAGTAAATATATTTATTAAAAGTAAAAGAAAAGAAAGGAAAAAAGAATTAGCCTTGTTATGAATTTTTGATGACCTAAAATGTTTTTATTGACTGACCATTACATACTGTTGTAGAGGTTTTCCACATTGGAATTAAGGGGTATCTTTTTTTCTTTTATTTGCTGAACCCATAGTCTCAGAACTTCCAGTATTTTACTAGATGTTCTTTTTCACTAACAAATTTATACCGTATCATGCTTTTACAAAAAGAAAAAAAAAACAAAAGAAAGTGCCTTAACAGGTTTCCCAGATGTTCGTGTTGGTCCTGAGGTGGTGACAGATGCTGCATTCCTGGTCACCAGAAACATGGAGGACTTTGTCACCTGGACAGATACTTCAGCCATCAGGAAACATGTGCTAGAGTATAATGAAATGGTAAGGACAACCATCCTATTACAGAGAAGATTTAGAGGTGAAAGTTGGCCTTAATTTTTGGACTGAAATGTTTGGTCTTTTTAATTTTTGGGATAAATCAGTAAGAGTCCACCAAAATAAAGTGGCTACTGGTCTGAAATATTGGCCTTTTTTTCTTTTTACAAAATGGGCACAACAATTTGCTTAAGTGGACTATTAGTGATTTATAAGATAGCATGGTTGCTCAGTCTAAAACCCAAAACTGGCTTTTAAACAAGCCTGTAGCAACAACCAATGATGTTTTGATATATGTTTATATCGTAAAACAAAAATGTCAGTAACATGCGAATGTAACCTTGCAAGTAGTCAACAATAACAAGTACACATGCAAGGTAAATTTTGGCTGTGTTTATAAAATGTGTTAATAAATAAATATAATAAGTAGAGCCTACTGTGAGTCCATTTGTAAAAATCTATTTCAGAGAGATGATTTTGATCTCATGGCATGACGGAATTCAAGCTTTCTGGAGTCTAGTGGTGAATACAAAGGAGTGGTCAAGCTGGGAGACACATGGCAGGCCCTGGGAATACAGGGTGTTGATTGAAAGACCATCCTGTAGCATACTGGTATCAAGACAGCCAGATGCTGGATGAAAAAGTTTCTGTTGCTAGGTGACCCTGGCTCAGCTCTGTGTATTGTTTGGAGCTAAAGTTACTGTTGCTCAGCAGTATAACTGGGTGTCAGGGTATCTGTAGCAGTTGCTACATAACACCTGTGCAATGCAAGGAACCACGATAGTGATGTTAGGAGCAGGAAATTGTGACCAAGTGGGCTGAAATATAAACTTAATTTGATATCACATCAAAAGGCTTGCTGAATTGTAGTTGTCAGAAAGTAGACATCATTTATCCAGTTGAAAAGATCCCAACTTGATGCGTTATGCAAGTAAAAATGAAGTGGGTCTAACCGCAGTTGCAATCTTTAGGAAATGTTTTGTATAAACCTTTCGATTCAAAATTGGCTAATTGTGTGAAATAAACTTAAGAAAACTTCAGAATTTAGTTTATGTTGAATTTAATTGCCCAAGAAGTCTTAAACAAAATAATGTACTCAACTCTCTTTAATAACCAGTTGCGATATAAACAAAACAACTGATTTTAAATGTTGTGGTAATTTTTTTTTATTAAAAGCAACATGTAAACAAAGTCTGAAAAACAACTGTAACATTTGTATATCCAGTATTCCCACCACTTGAGACAATTTATGAATTAGGAAAAAATTAAGAAGTACCTTCAAGAAGCATAAACAAATTATAAATAAGCTTTTGTTCTGCTCAAGATCATGTAAAATATTTTACAAAAGCTGCTTACATAACAATAATGAACACTGAACCCTGTTGAATGTGAAAAATTGTATAAAGTTTACAGAAGACACGTTACATACATACAGTCTCTGTAAACAAATTCTGACTTCTTTTCTTGAATCCTGCCAATATTCATATTTACCAAACTAATCTAAAATATGAATATTATATTAAGCTGAAAAATTCTGTAACAATAACATTTAAATTTTGTTCTTTAAAATATACGCATATAAAATATGATGACAATTATTAGCCCTACATTACAAGAAAAATGAAGCAAATTAATACGTCATCTCCCACATTTCTTGTGAGTGCCAAGATAATTCGGTCTTTTGTGCCTTAGTTGGTCCATTTCTCTTTTAAATTGCATTAGCATGGTGCTGGAGTAGAAGAATAAAACATTCTCGTATCATACATGACAAATGATTGGATTTCGTTTACACATGGTACCATTTGTATAATATCTTAAGACTGGTCAGTACAACTTTTAAAACTTCAAAATTGGACTAGCCTATTTTGTAATTTTTTTCATTCAACATGGACATATTTTAAAACTTAATTCATGGAAACTAGGTGTTTGTGTCAGTTATTGTTATATGTCATAACTCTGGAAGAAACAACTGATATATATACATACTTCAAAGATGTGAGCTCTGATATCAGTCCTTTCAGCATCCGAGTTTCCTTTGTATCTGGGTGTTTCTCTTGAGGAGGTACAGCAGCCCCCACATCCCTGGTAGATCTGAGTTGTACCAGTTTCTGGGGGGCTGTCAAGGCATGTGCTGGGGATTGGAGACAAGTCTTACTGTGGTCTACAGAGCTGGCATTTTCGCCTGGCACAGGGTAATGGCACGCCAGTCTAAGAATAAAAAGAACAAAAGTGGGAAATGGCCATGCAGATTAAATTTGAAGTCTTAAAGTTGCTCTGCCTTAATTCAGTTGTAGGATAAACAAAAGTTATACCCAATTACACACTTCCTGCTTATTTTTCTTTAAGTGACATTTTTTACGGACATCTTTTATTTTAAATAAATGTAAATCAAAGTCTCATGACATTATCTTTTTCAAAGTGCATACCCGTTTCCCATTCCAGCTTGGTCCTCTTTCATAAGGTCTTCCCCTAGCTGAAAAAGTTGAGAGTCACTTATGTCTGGGCACTCATCTGACTGAGATACTGTCTTAACACCTACAATCTGTGGCACCTCTAATGGCCTTAACTCCTCAATACACTGGCTGAGTACTTCTGCCACTTTAGGTTCAATGGCAGTTGTGTTGTCCCTCAGTTTAAAAACTTCGGTATTGTCTCCAGCCATATCTGGGATGGTACAGTCTCTGGGGTTGCTGGCCATGGCACAAATTACAGGTGTAGAAACCATGGTACTATCTCCAGGAATGGCACTGGTATCAACTACAAGGGAGCAACTCTTGGTACTGTCTGCTGACTTGCAGTCCATGTTTCTCTCACAAAGTTCATGGTCTGTGACATTATCCCTTGAACTACAGGTTTTGGAACTGTTATCAGGCTCAACACATGTTGTTGTGGCATCTCTGGTGATACTATTTCCAACTTTACAGGACTTTGTGTCATCTCCAGCCTCACAGGCCATGGAAGTGTCTCTATACTCACAGGCTGAAATGTCCATGTCTCCTTGCATCTGTGCTGTACTACCCTCTTTGGGCTCAAAGGCTATGGTAATTTCTACAGACTCACAGTCTGTATTACTATATTGAGATTCACATGATGAAGTGGACCTCTCAGGTTCATCTGCTGTGGCAGTGCCTATCTCACTCACCTCTTTCATAACAGCTCTATTATCTCTTGATTGAAGTGGGAAAATATTACCAATTATTTGTTGCTCATCCTGAAAGGACACATGTGTACTTGTCAAGTTTACAGTTTTTTGTGTGTGTGGAAAGACTTCACCAGGTGTTTTAACTGTAATGTCCTCATATTCTGTACCATTTATAGTCCCAAGTGGTGAATGTTGAAAATTTTCAAAGGGTTCTTCTACAACACCTTTTTTTTCTGTAACTGATATTGTTTTTCTTTGTATTTTGTCTTCTTCTCCATGTGAACTTTTTCCTGGGCCAGGTCCTGGGGAATTACTTGTATAGGTAACTGTAGTTTTCTTTGTGTCATTACTTTCAAGTACCACAAGAGTTTTTACATTACATTTAGTTCCTGTTGTGTCTGATGTTCTTGTACTAATATTGGCTTTGTGAAGACTGATGGTTTCTGATGCTTCTGTCATCAAATCTGCATTAACGACTGTAGACCCAGGTGTTTTGTCCTTTTTGTGAGACTGAAAACTTGTCAAATATTTCTTGAATGTTTTCCTTTTGCTGAAGTTGGGTTTGATCCTAGCAGGCTGCGACAGAGGAACAAAATCATCATTGTCAGATGTAACTGTTTTGCTGTTTGACACACCTATCATTATGTCATCCTGAGATCTTGCTAATATTGGCACAGGGTTGTACATGTAGTCTAGGATGATGTTATTTGCATCAAATTGCTGTGCTTCTGCTATGCATTCACTGTGGATAGGCTGCGACGGATCAGTCTTGTTCTCCACCTATGATGTATTTGAAGAAGTCAGATAATTTGAATTTGAATAACTTAAAGTCATAAACAGATTTTTACAAATATTACTGGGTACATTCTAATGCTGAAAACTAGAGAGATAAACTTGCTCAATATCAGAAATTTAAAATTAAATTTTGAGTTTCATGATTAATGGAAAGGGTACATATTTATTACAATAATTTAAACTTCAACACTGACAAACTACCTTTGTTTCTCTGCTTTGAAAACCTGCTTCACTTGTTCCATTGCCTTGTATAGTTTTAGCTTGTTTTGCTATTACATTCTCATGATTATTTGATTCACCTGTATAATATAATTATAATTATCTTTTTGTATACATGCACAGCACTGTTTATGTAAAATTTTGGCCTAAAATATCCATTTAATGTACAGAAAATTTTGCAAACAAAATGTTTCAAACATATAAAAAATAGACAAGGAAAAAATAGAGAAATACCGATAATGCATGTCTCATTTGTTACCTTTGCTTGAAACCAACTTCCTCTTCCGTCCGCTAAGTGCTTTGCATTTTTGTGCAGCTCCATTGGTTTTATGCATACTCAGCATTGTAAAATCATCAGATTAATCTGAGAAAAATAATGGATACCATTTACAAATGTGACAGGATCAATATTGGGATTTGAGTGTTTTCACATCTCTGTATAAGTGTATTGTTTATGAGTTTTCACATTTTCACCTAGGGTCAAGATGCTGTTAAGGATTCCTGCTCCTCCATCTCCATCCTTAAGTGCCAATCATGTTGATTTTGCTGTACAGTTTCACATTGTCTCTTGGCCAGAAAGGTCTTTACCCAAGGTGCTTTTGATGTTACTATAACTAGTACTACATTCCAATACTTTAATTTTTTCAAAATTAAGTACCTCAAACTTTCAAATATAGTTATTTGTGGTACTCAAATCAATAATAGTCAAGAACTATAAATTCTCCATGTACTTAATAATATTAACAAGCCAGCAAATAGGCAAGTACCTAGTACATGAATCTGTAGTTTAATATACTATATGTGAGTTTTCATTGAGAAAGAAAAGTAAATTTTTCCTACCCAACAATCATCATTCTAAATTTGAAAAAGATCCGTAGCTTTACAAGATATTAAGACAAAAAATTGACTTTGGTTTTGGGAAACTTTCAGATGTGTTGAGTTAATCTCAACATCAATGAAAAAAGTATCTTCTCATAAAAAAGGTCCTTAATCCTTATCATGCAGGTTGATTCAATGACATCCACACTGTAGAAAGATAAAGAAAATTATTTATAACGTAAATCATCATTACTTTACTAGTATTTGGACTAGAGTCTGTTGGTTGAGCATAGCACGAAATTCATGCACTTTTATAGGTGTGTACAGCCAGTACATATCAAAGAGTTCTTAACCCAAAGGCAGAAGTTTCGTGCTTGGTCACGACTACATGAGAAGAGACATTGGCTACATTGCCTCGGTGTTGAGCCTTGCTCAGATCTTTTTCAAATAGTAATATATACTTATCGCAAGTAAGTTCCTTTTCAATAAAACGAGCATTCGTTTTCTAGAAAAGCAATATTAGTTGCACTTACGGTGGCAGTTATAAGAGATAGTGTGATGAACGGACGTCTGAGTAGCTTTTTTGCTACAATTCATAAATGGCGGGTTTCTAACAGCAGTCACCGGTTTACGGTAGTCGTAAACATAATGACTCCGATGTTCGTCAAATGTTGGTGGTGCTTGTTACATAATTAAGCCGTCTAAGTGTCCATATGATGACGTATTGTTATGCGCGAAATCCTTTTTCATGTAAACCATGTACCTGAAAGTTAATAAAAACTAGACCGCTTCCTCTCGCCGGCCGCTGGCCTACTCGACTCCCGTGATACAGCCATAGACCTGGGAAGACATACCATCATGATTTATTATAATAACATATAACACCAGAGGCGGATTTATGATTTGGGGAATGGGAGGCATAAAGTGATACTGTTTCATTATTTGGCAGTGGTTTTCACACAAAATTATTTAAATTTTGTTATAGATAATTGGTTACGTTTTATGTAAAAAAATTACAACGTGCAGGTCTACGGGCGACTAGTAGCTGTCACCTCAAAGACTCAAAATAAATTAATTGCTTAATTAACTGGGTAAATTAACCTAAAAGTCACAAAACTAGATTACTCTAGTACAGAACCTACCTTTGTTTAGCTTTAAATTTACAAGTTTACCATAACACAAATAAATAAATGAAATAAAATAAAATCAGTTTTAAAAGTATTTTAAAAAGAAATAAATGTTTATATTATAGCATTGTTGGAATATTGCAAAAAAGACATCTAAAGTTTTGTATGAATATGTTTATTTCCATTATGTAGCTTAAAGCAGGTCTTAAATTACTCATAGTATTTATATTTTAATATATAACAATATGCCATCATATGGACTCTATAGTTTTACAAATACACATACATGACAGACAAATTTAAAAGCACTAACATTGAATTTTATACACTCTACAAAGGAAAATTCCCAATTCCCCCAATATTTAAACAACTATATTTATTGATTGTTGCTGATTATAAGTAACTTTTATTTTCACATAAATTAAATTGCTGAATTGTCAGTAACCATATATAACTTACAGCTGGGCTGACTGAAGTCAGCTGATGCCATAGCCTGAAGAAGATATGACTTGAGTAAAAAAAATCTGCCTGAACTGTTCTACACTGATAAAAGTATAATAATATATTAAAGATACTGTATACCCTGCATTAAAAAAAATGCCCCAAATCATATTTTCTTTATCGATCATCTACACACATTTTGCAAAGCTACTTATCTTTCATTAATGTAGACCTTAAAAAGAATAAAATTCCCTCTAGGTAGATACTTGGAACAAAATTATATACATAGCAATGACATATATAAACTATTGAATCCAAGGGCATAGAATGAGTCCAGCAAAGATTTCAATTGTCAGTAGGAACTTCTCAAGGAAACTGATTTGGTGTGAAAGTCTTGGATAAGATATACCTTTTATTCGACTCCCAAGCCTTTTTTTTTATCTTAAATCAAAGTATAAGCATTTGACCATCACTCAATGTATCATGTAGTTTCATCTGAAGAATATGTGTAAGCTTGTTTTAACAAAAAATCCTATTATCAAATTGAAGGTAATTAACTGGTAAGGTCTCCATCAGTGCCAGTGTCTATCAGCACAGGACTTTATCATTTGCCGGTATACATGCATCCATGCTACAATGTCAGATCTCCATTACAAATTTTCAAAAATTGCTTAAGTCTTATTTCCTGCTGGAAATGGGTCTTCCCAAGCTGGTAATTTTTCCACTACTTTTCTGGCTATATTTTTGAAGGCCAGTGCCTAAAAATAAAAGAGAAAAAATGCAAACCTATTAGAAATATTACAGCTAATAATTTTCAAAGTAAAAAGGGCATCTAGAAATTAAGAAAGGCAACCATTAACAATAATTGTACAAAATAACATATTATACCAATCCCCTATATTTAGTAACAACAGTGCTATACACTAGTATGTAAAACTTTTAGCAATCCTGACCAAAAGTATCTAATTTCTTTTTCAAATTCATAATGAGTTCTTGTCACTTTTTTTATTTATAAGTCCAAAATAAAGGTTATCTGAGCTGACTGTCTAATACAACATCATGTTAGTATAAAATCAGACTGTTCCACATACCTGTGGGCTCCCCTCTTCACTGACTACCACTGGTTTTCCACTGTCACAGAGTTCACGGATCTTTGTGTGTAGGGGAATATCACCTGAAAGGCATGACACTGCATCAGTGGCTCATTCTCCGATTTTTCTGAATAATTTTTATTGTACTTACAATCTAATATATTATTCATTCCCCTTTAAACTCCTTTTTATATTATGTTTTATCTTTGCTAGCGATTATATTATTAAATGATTCCCCTAACTTCAGACAGTTATGTTTCCAGCAACAGCAGATGCGCATTTACAGCAAAGGTAAGTTTCAAGTAATCTCTGAAATTCAGTAACTGCAAGGCCAGTCATGCTTACCAAGTATCTCCAGACCCATTTCTTGTGCCAATTTGTTAGCTCCCTCTTCTCCAAAGATGTGTTCCTCGTGCCCACATTTGGGACAATGGAAGACACTCATGTTCTGTACTATACCCAGCACTGGAACCTGAACTTTCTTGAACATCTCGGCCCCTTTCCTGGCATCCAGGAGGGCAATGTCCTGTGGTGTGGACACAATAACAGCACCTGCAGCAGTCATTTGAGAATTGAATTTATCGTCAACTTGATTTATGTCACAGAAGTTTTTACAGTTTAACTAAGTTATAAACTATAAGCAAACTAATTTTCTACCTCAAATATTCTTATTGCCTTTTTGCTGATGAATTTGGATTAAAGTAAATATTTTTGTAAGTTTTTAAATGTTACAATTTTGAATTTCACTTATTTTACTCTCCTTTTTAATTTATGTAGAATTACAAACAAAACAAATAATGGAGAAAGAGAGAGATCGATAAGACATTAAAATACAGATATCGATTTCAATTGGCTATTTATATACTTGTTACGTTGTAAATGTTCACTGAAAAAAAATTGTCAAAAAATTTGAATTTGTAAACTGAATAATATCAATATTCTGATCTAAGAAATATCTCTTTAGAATTAATTTATAAGTCAGAAATAATATTTGACTTGTGGAATAATGGCCAATCATTTTCCTACCTGATATGGGGATATTTTGGGATAATGTTAACTGTGTGTCACCTGTGCCTGGGGGCATGTCTATAACTAGGTAGTCTAGAGGACCCCACGCAACCTGCAATGCAATTGACGAAATTATTAAAACCTATCAAGATCTATAAGTGCCCATGTGCAAAACAAGCACCCTTAAAGTACTAGTAAAAGTGTGTAATCAGGATGTTAACTATTTTAGTAAACTGGGCTTTGACAGTGAAGTTTGTGCTATGTACAGGGGCAGATCCAGAGATATTTTCTGACAGTCTTCCAAATTATCTTTGTTGATCCATCCTCTATTTTTGACCGTCTTCCTACAGAAAAAATTGGATACCCGTCAATGTTAACTTAAAAATCTGACTGTCTTCCAGAAGACCCAGAAGACGGCCTAAATCTGCCCCTGAATTGTAACAGAAAGAGTAAACCCTAAAGAATGGATCCAATGGGCAAACCAGCAGCTTGGCAGTTTGTTGATACAGTGCTAGAGACAACAAGAGGACAGGTCCACACTTTCTAACTTTGTAGAGGAACAGATTTCATACAGATCACAGACTGACCAAAAGCTCTGTAAGGTAAAGCTTCAAGTTAATGTAGAAAATGAAAAGTTCAATCTCACAACATAACCCTGATACAATTAGCACTGAAAGATTTTTGTGTTATTTGGAAGAGAAAAAAAAAAGGATTCATGTGCTTCAGATAGAGTTGGAATTCTGGTATGGGATGAAGTGACAGCTAACTATCAAATGGGTTTTGTGTTCATATGCTCAAAAACTGTATACCTCATACATTTCCTCTTATTTTCCCTATCAGCACTGCCTTAGTTCAAGAAAGATAGGGAGAGACTTGCCAACACTGACCTGTCTTAGTAACCTTTGTATGGCAGACATAACCATGAGCCCCCTCCAAACAACTGGTGAGCCCTCATCGACAAGAAAACCCATGGACATACTGAAATCAAATAAGTCTGTCCTTGAAATTACAATTTCTATTAGCAATGTAAGTCTGTAGAACTCCCTTACCTTAAAGACCCATAAAATAGTGCAACACTTAACATGTGATCTGTAAAAATTGGTTCAATAGTTTCTTGTCACAGATTTTAAGTGAATTTTTCTCTGTTTAGTTCAATCTAGGATCCAACATACCAGTACTGTATATTGGACTCTAGGTTCTATATTGAATAATTGTTTCTAGTAGCAGAAGGGTGTCATTAAAAAATCTTACCATTTTATTCCAAAGTTCACTAATGGCATCATTAGATTTTCTGTAACAGCAAATAAAAAATGAAATGCTAAAACAAATAAGGTTATTGAGATGCTGTAGCAGCCTTTAAAATTGCATGTATCACATCAAATTGCAACTGCTTAGCCAACACTGCAAAAATTGGCAAGAGAGGGAAAGGCATTTTTCTAACCATTCTTTATGTTTATTCTGTAGTAAGCTTAGTAAGCTTACAATTTTTTTTATCAATTGAAAATTGGTGAAAAAATGACATATCTCATTTGTTCAGACAACATGAACTATCTTAATTATTTGATAAAAATTTTATATGCTGGGGAAAATCTACATATTACATAACACTGCACATGTACTTCACTTACGTTCATTTAAAAACACCTGCCCTTCAAGGTTCATCATCCTTGGGATAGAGGGGCCATACACATCAGCATCTAACAAACCAACCTGCTTGTCCTAGAAAAAATAACTTTAATTATTTACTTTTAATAACCATCTGGAACATTTTGTGTCCTACTAAAAATTTATTCTTGAAGTGTCACCTAAAATAGGAAGATTTCTTTTTCTGCAAAAGCATGACAAAAATAATCAGTTTTATAAATACCATATAATATTAAATTATATTTCATTATATAAATATCATATAATTTAATATTTTCTTAATTTTGACACATATTGGGGAATGCATAAGGCAAATACCTTGTCATTGTCTGCAAGGGCTAAGGCCAGGTTTACTGAAAAATTGAGATAAAAAATCATTGACACCATTTTCTGTAAACTTTTTTGAAAATAACTAATACTAAGCCTGTTGATTTAAAATGTAAGCTGTCTTTCAGCTTTGCTATGTGTATGATGGCCAGGATAAGGTGAGAAGTCCATGTTGTTATTGGTAACAATACAGTAAAAATATATACGTTGATGATAATTGACAATGATTCTTGTATGTTCAGTCAATTTAGATATACCGAGTACTTACAATCACGTACTATGAGTGGTCCAGTCTGTCTTTAAATAAACTGCAAAATATAGCTAAGCTCAGCAGAGAGCAGAGTTTTATGGTATAACCATGTGCACTGAGACCATTTGGATCATTCCAGACTACAAGACGAGGACTAATTCAGAGCAGGAGAGGCCATACATTACCTGCTACAGTGGACTTGCCCACCCCACCCTTTCCAGATGCCACCACAATGACCTGTTTCACTCCTGCTATGGGGAATTTCTTTGGCAATCCTTTGGACACCTGTTCCTTGGCACCAGGCGAATCTGCTGTCTTCTTTTTATTGATTCCCTACAAGGCACAATTAGTACATATGGTCCATTCCACAAGTATTTTTTCTTCTTAACACCTTCAACCCTCCCCCCCCCCCCATCCTACTCATTTATCATTAATATACCAGTTATTATCACAAAGTTCCAGTGCAAAAGGTAGAGTTACTTACAGCAAAATTAGCAGATTACAGATTCTTTATTGATAAACACCTTCACATACTGTACTGTACAAGGTACCAGTACTCAGTACATGTACAATCAATGACAGCACATCTAACTATAACAGAGCACAAACAAGTAAATAAATAAATATATATAATTATAATGTTTATAAATATAAAGGCATCCAATGGATGATCTCAGTTAACGGACTGGTATACAGTACACCAACTGACCAACTTCATCAAAATTAGAAGTTTCATTTTGCAATATTTTAATATTAAAATACTAACAGTTACTGACTGTGCAAATGTACATCTTGACATACTTACAAAGGGGTCTTCGTGGGTGGAAAAATGCGTTTTTGTTGTTGATGAAACCCGAGGAAATATAGCGTAACAGGAAAACAGTGACTTGGCACAATTTCTGGAGATCCAGGCTTTCCCCACGAGGGTCGCCATTTTTGCTCACGGAATTCCCTACCTCGCTTCCATACAACAAACACAGGCATAAGAAAATGCTTAAGGTAAAACCCATTAGCTTGAACTGACATAAATCAAATATTCATTTCCCAAAATGAATTCAAAATTTAAAATTAATTAAAATGCAATTTTAGGCGCTATGAGGGACATCTGATGAGACAATCTAGAAAATAGTGTATTGATTTTTGACCACGTGCCTGTGGCATAAGTAACCTGGCACGCCATAACGATGTACGCAGCATACAAAATGCAGCAGGATTTTGAGTTAGTTTGCTCTGCCACCGCCAATAGTGGTAAAATACCTGTGTACAAGTATAAGTCGAGGTCGACAGGATTAACCGTGTCCATAGCTCAGGTAGATGGGCCAACCGTAAGCGGGTATTTTTGCTTGGGTAAGTCGTCCTGGTGAAGCCAGCTGTTGATCGTTTGCTCCATCTTAGGAGTACATGTACGGTACTTTACGGTCGATCGAAAATGCCTGGAATTAGATACCATGATGTAGTTCGATCGTAACTGCAATGCTTGGTAACTTGCACTGTCATTGTTTATTTATATAATGTGCATATTTGCCTGACTGGTGAAAATGCTTCGTTTTTCGCTTAGTGTGCCCTTTCTAATTGTCGCTTGTGTAAACAGACAGCCAGTTTCATACAAATACCATTCTATGATATTACCATGATCTTATTTCGTAGGGTATAGTCACATCTAAAGACAACGAAGTGTTGGTCATGTATTTGTTTGTAGCAGTATAGTGTGTGTGTGAAGTTCTTTTAATCATGTAGATGCGGTTTTATAGAGAGTGAGACTATAATCACTTGGTTATATTAAATTTTAGAGTTGTTACATAATATGTATTTAAATAGTCATTTGTGCAAATACCAACCTCTTGAGCTAAGCTAATAAAGCAAAGAATGTGACCCATTTCAGCTAGTCTGAATAATTTATCTTTAGTATAGTTTATTAAATTTATTTTAATCAGTATTACATGTATTTTAAATAATGCATTGCTTTAGTCCCTTAAATGTTGGTCAAGTTGGGGTGAAAACTATCTTTAATTTGTGTTTACATAACATTCAACTTGTTTGCTTACCTCCCACTCTCACATGCCAGATGCTACTTAGTACATTGTGCAGGTTATATTTATTTATTGCTGATTGAGGTAAGTTTTGGGTTGCTTATACCATAATGAAACAATATCTGTTTTTATTTTCCCAGCTACTGAGGCCCATGATGATGATGGATTACCCCACACTTTGGAACATTTGGTATTTATGGGGAGTGAAAAGTACCCATACAAGGTAGGATTTTTACAACACTGGATACGTGCCATCATGTAATAGTTGCCTGTTAATCAATTTTGAAGCAAAAATAATAGATATGATGACAATGACAAAGCATGCTTCCTATTTATGAATAAGGCAGAAAGAAAAAGGTTCCAAGGTAACATTACAAGTATTCTTCTCGTCAAACTGAAGGGCTTATGTGTCATTTTAAAGATTTATAGTCATGTTTCTTCTGACATGCTTTTAGGGTGTATTGGACCTGTTGGCAAACCGCTGCCTGGCCTCTGGAACCAATGCCTGGACTGATACAGACCACACCTGTTACACCATGCAGACAGCGGGAGATGAAGGCTTCCTCACCCTCATGCCCATATATGTAGAACATGTGCTTTTTGCTACTCTTACTGTAAGTGTATTGGAAGGTTTGCATTCTGGTTAACTTGGATATTCCAAATTATGGAATGTTAACTTTTCTACAGTGTATTCATCAGTGTTAAGTTAAGGCAGTTCTTGATATTGAGCAGTTCATATTCTAACCTGTCATCAATCATTAGACTTTTTGACTAACCCCTCTGTCAATGGCTTCACTCCATCTGCATCTGATTATAGGTCACATGACTACATGTACTTAGTTGTGCTTTTATATTCTAAATTGTTTATACCTTCTACAGATGCAGAAGTCGATCAAATATTAAGAAAAAATTTGTCTTTGACATGTTGAAAAACATATTACTTATGGATTGGATGCCAAGTTATTCAGGCTCGCATATATGTGATTTTCATAATATGTCATAGGGCTCGTTCCCAATGAAACTGCCGCCTCCTCTGTATTCTACTCAATGCCAGGAGGAGCTTGTTAAATATATTACGTAATCTGATTGCATTCAAGGAAAGTCCCCAAAAAGTTGGGTAGATTTACAGTTTCATTGGGATTGAACCCATAGATAATTGGTTTTGAAATTATCTATGCAAAAGCTGTTGTATTTGGTAAAAAAAATTAAGTTATGAATTTAGTTGTTTAATTAGCTAAAATAGAAAGTGCTAGTATTGGCCCTTGAGTACTATATACTTTATCCTCCAGGACTCTGCTTACCTCACAGAAGTTCACCATGTCACAGAGCAAGGGGAAGATGCTGGAGTGGTCTACTGTGAAATGCAGGCCTGTGAAAACACAGGGGAGGGGAGAACCAGACTCGCCCTTCTCAGAGCCATGTACCCAGGGCATTGTGGGTATAAGTCAGAGACTGGGGGAATGTTGGAAAATCTACGCATAAGTACCTCAAATAAAAAGGTAAAATGGATTGTTTTTCTCCAAATTGATGGCATTATATAATTATTGACTTTGGCTGAGATTGTTTTGCAGAAAAGTGATCAAGGAAAGATAAAAACCATAGAAAAATATAATTTCATTGCAAACAATACTTCTCAACAAAAGGAAGTCATTTAAGCAATATTTCAGTGATGCCAGTAATAAACTGAGATTTATATAAATTTTTCAGGTTGTGAGCTATCATCAGGAGTTTTACCGCCCAGAGAATCTTAACCTCATTATCACAGGTCAGGTCAATCCCCAAGATGTGTTCAAGGCACTAGAACCAATACAGCAGAAAATACTAGCAAAGGTAAGTGGTATAACAAGTTCAGTCCAGTTACTATTTATTACTAAATTTTTTCCAACATCATCTTTACTTTTGGATTCATAATGCTTTCTTTGTCATGTTTCATATATTGTTCTTTTTAGGGTAAACAAGCTCAATTTGTCCGTCCCTGGCAGAGTGAAGTGCCTCCCCTGGAGAATTCAGTTGAACAGATCATTTGCTACCCCTCTGATGATGAAACTCGGGGCCTGGTCAGGATGGCCTGGAGGGGACCTAATGTCAAGGTCAGTAACTTGTAACAGCAATCACATCAAACACAAGTGCAGCCTCACATAGCATAATCAGGGTCATGTCCAACAAAATTACTATCACAACTCCTGGAATTACTGCCGGATATAATAACTGAAAGTGACTCCCAGACAGAGTAGTACCTTTTACTATAAGAAGTATTCAGTGGTGCAATGTCAATTTCCATCAATACAAACACATTCAGTTTTGTCACAGCTAACACAGGGCAGCATCACACATGTTTTCCTAACCTATAGCTTGCAAAGATCCTCTGGCACTTGTAGGTGAAAAGTTGTCATGAAAAGCCAATTTTTGGTATAAATGTTGAATAATTATATTGAAATTGTAAAATTTAAATAAAAGATAGATGTAGATTGCAGCAATGTGAGTGTTATTCATTAGTCCCTCAACCAAAGACTTTTATGATTTAAGGATCTGTACACACATGTTGCATTGACTGTGATTTTGGACTACCTCCGAGATTCTGCCATATCTCCCCTACAGAGAGACTTTGTGGAGCTGGAGGAGCCATACTGTTCAAATGTGAGTAACAGTTTTTGCTTATATTTTAATTATCAGTTTTAAAATAAAAATACACCACATATTTATATACCATATTTGTGCATCATTTTAAAGCTGGTTTAGAAGCTGTGCCCAGTCTGTACTGACTCTTAGGAAGTAGTGAACTCCATATAATTCTTTGGCTAAATTAAAGACAACAAATAAAAAAAACTGCATTCATCTTTAAGGGGACTTGTGTTTATATTTTTCTTGTGTTAATTTTTCTGTGGTCAGTTAAAAGGGTGGCTTTGAGGATTGATTTGAGAGATTTATTTGATTAATTTCAGGTGTCATATTCTATGATAGAAAACAGAGAAATGTGTCATATGCTGACATTCCAAAATGTCCCAAAAGAGAAGCTGAAGGAAATAAAACCCAGGTATGCTCTTCCACAGACTAAAAGTTTTGCTGACTTCAGTTACTTCATTAATCATGTGGCACTGCATATATGCAACTATATACATTGTTTCATTATAATTTGTTTACCTGTGTGATTTTAATTGGTGTCTGTTCCACCAATCTGTGACTTATATGATAAATCTGCACGAACATTTGTTCAGCAAATTATGAACTGGCTAACCTAAACAGGCTAAACTGCCCGGTAAATTGTCCCTATATAAAAGAAAACTCAGTATGGTCATCATATTACTGCTTTTTGTAATAAGTCTTTTGTCATGAGCGTCACTTGTTTGTGATTGATCAGGTTGTTGGCCACCATTGGTAAGATAGTGAAGAGAGAGGAAGAGATTGATAGTAAGAGAATGGAGACTGTGATTCACAAAAATGTTCTGGACAGTATGGAGAGGGTAAGTCTCAGAATTTACCTAAGAAAACAAATTACATCTGTACATCTGTTGGTTTAGTTGACAGTGTGTTAGGTTTTTACATTGCAGTAGATATAACAGTGTGTTATGTGTGACATTGAGTTCTTTGCATCAGAAAGTTAGTTGAAGCAATGTATCAGATGTGGTAGTATGTTTTGTATTGGAGGATAGTGGATTTGACTGATGATAGATATGAATTTCTTATTTTTACTAATATCATGCTCTGTAAGATGTATGAATGACCCTATTGTGATGTTATGTTCAATGGAAGCCTGGTCTGTTGAAGTGCCTGCAGGTAATCATATATTTATTATGTCTAAAAATGTTTTTTCTGCTGTTGTGTTTTGTATGCAATGCATTTGTGGCTTGTCTGGGACATCAGAAGCACAGTTGAACAGTAATATTTTGTGTCATATTTTAGTTGGAGTCAAGACCCCATGATCAGATCGCTGGGGATTTGATAGGAGATTTCCTGTTTAGTGACACAGGAGAGGAAGTAAGAAAGCATTTTTCTTGCTTTTATCCAATATTTCTTTCATCTGCTAGTATTTAAGATTTACAACTTTTTAGTGTTTTTATAACGCTGACAGTATTTCTTGATCTCTGCACCATCACTGAAGATAGTAAACAAATTTCACTTTTTGTTTTTCAATATAATGCCTATAGCTTATATTTATTTTTTGAAATTTATAGAGCAGCAATGGGAAATTAATTGGATTGATTTATCTTCCAGCTGGTTGAGAGAGTGAACCAGATTGAAATTTTTAGAAAACTGAGTAAAGAAAACAAGGACTACTGGTACAATTTACTGAACCAATATTTTATGACCCGTCCTTCTGTCACTGTAAGTATGGTGATCTTCATATACAGACATTGTTAGTTTAAGTAATCTTATAACCTGTGTCTGCCCTTTCCCTAATTGCCTGCCTTTTAACTGCTTCAATATGTCTGTCTGTGTATGTGCAAGCTTTAATGCCTAATTTTACTTGTAATTCTAAGATATGGCACCCAAGGCAGTTTCCATTAATACATACAAGAAAGGAGATTGTTTGAGACATCAGACTATATTCATAATTTAGTAACATGCATCACCATATTTATTTTAAGTCGTTCCACCAAGGTGAAGCTTACTGCAGTGGCTGTTTCGCTTTCTTATATGCAGCAGATAGTATCCATATTTATCCTTTCTTCCAGATAATTGGAGAGCCCAGTAAGGAGCTCCATGAGAAGATGGCTGCCACAGAGAAGGAACGTATAGAAGAACAGAAGAAGAAATTAGGAGAGACAGGGTTAGCACAGAAGGGAGAGAATCTCAAAAAGGCTTGTGAGGAAAATGAGGTAAGATTTATAATGTTTTGGGAAAATGTGTTTTGAATGAGTGTGATAAAGTGTGAATCCTGCAGTAGGCTTTCTTGTGTATTACTATTAGCTACATATCTGTATTACTACATATTTATTTTGTCATAAAAATAGAGATTATGTGTTCCCATGTGGTTATGTAGGTGAGAAAAAGACTTTAGATGCTGCCTGGGGAATATTGATACATGTAATATGTAGTACTTTCAGATATGCTTCCTTCTGCACATCTTGTACAATGTAGTAACATCATTTTTATCATAGAATATTTCTGTTTTGAATTCAGATTGAGGCACCAGGAGAAGTCATCACCAGTGTCGACATTCCAAATGTCAGCAGCATTAAATTCCATCCAATTACAACGTGCCACTCTGGCCACGCTGAGGCTGACACCAAATTCTCAGGTTTTCCTCTCAGTGATCTTCCTGTGGCATTCCAGCTGAATAGCATTAACAGTAACTTTGTGTCTGTAAGTTTGAGTTGTTTCCAGAGGGGTATCTTCCTAGGTAAATCATCTGTGAAATAATTGATGTTGATGAAAATGATTATTATTTTGGTCTTTAAGATGAATACATAAATGTGTTTAATGAGGATTAAGTTTATTACATATGGTGCAAAATTTCTTTTAAACTCAAGAACTCTGAACTGATTGGTTTAAAATTCTTGGTATGAATTGATATATGTTGATGTGTTGGTTGTTTTATCATCAGTTGCGCTGCTGTATCAATACGGATGCTGTACCTCAGGACCTGAAATATTACCTTCCTCTTTATGCTGCTGTGATGTGTGAATCACCTCTGATGAGAAACAATGGTAAGATGATTATAGTTTCCTTTTAACAAAGCACTCCATGTGATTTTAATATGTTTCTGTCTTTTTAGGCAACTCGTCTTATGATTCTAACAAGAATCAAGAAATATCAGTGAAATGTAGCACCTTATCTAATTGTTTTTCTGTGATCTAATGCAAAATGATATTATTGTCAGTTCTTTAAGGAATTCTGATAAGTCCATCTTCATTTCTGAAAATGTTTGAAACTGATAGATTGTTGGTAGTATTTTATGTCATCTGATTTTCGTACAGTTTTGTGGTCATTATGTCGGTCCAAATCTTGATGTGAATATTATTAATGTAATTAACTCACTATTGGTACACTGTGATGCCAATATGAGTGAATAGCTTTATGATTATTTGAATTATGTATTGCAGAGCTGGTGTCTCATGAGATTGTCATCCAAGAGTTGGAAGCTGACACGCTGAGTGTGGACACCTCTCTTGGTCTTTCAGGGGGAATGTTCACACATGGAGATTTTCCACAACTGCTTACACTCCGCCTCAAGGTTAGTGTGTGTGTGTGTGTGTGTGTGTGTGTGTGTGTGTGTGTGTGTGTGTGTGTGCGTGCGTGCGTGCGTGCGTTTGTATGTGTGCCTGTGTGTGTGTGTGTGTGTGTGCGTGCGTGCGTTTGTATGTGTGCTGTGTGTGTGTGTGTGTGTGTGTGTGTGTGTGTGTGTGTGTGTGTGTGTGAGAGAGAGAGAGAGAGAGTTTTTACTTCTTCATTCTTTGTCACTGAACCACAGCACAATCAGAATCAATATGAAATATTCAAGTGTTTTTAGAACATTCCCATTTGCTTTTAAAGTTTACTACCCTAAATCAAGGAAGATACATATTGCCACTTCAGGTAGAGTGTGAGAAGTACAAGAAATCCATCACATGGATTCATGAACTGCTGTACAAGATCCAGTTTAAGGAAGAGAGACTGAAAATTGTAGCACAGAAAATGGTGAATGAAGTGTCTCGTCTGAAGAGAAGAGGCTTGCTGATAGCACAAAACATGATGAAGGATATGTCTTTTGATAAAGGTAAGCACTCTAGCAGATATAGAAATACTGAGTTTATGTATATATATGTGCACATGTGTTCCTGTATGTTGTGTTGTGTTTTGCATGCAGTTTTTGACCTGTGATTTTGTAGGTTGTTTTGTGGTCAGAAATGTTGACCTGTCACCCCTAAGAAAAGAAATTGAATTGTTAAAGGAATTGAAGAGTTACTCACCATTATTTTAGATTATTGATCATATTGATAAAGTAAAGGTTTTCTGTCTTGCAGCAAGTAACATGGTTGTGATGGGGTTCATGAGACAGCATACATTCTTGACTGAAATGTTGGAGAAATTGGAAAAATCACCAACTGAAGTAAGTAACTCTCTCTCTCTCTCTCTCTCTCTCTCTCTCTCTCTCTCTCTCTCTCTCTCTCTGAACTGCCAGTGTTGATGGACTGCAATATTTATTTTCATCCATCAAAATTATTTCAGGTTATAGAGCAGATGAAGAGACTTCAAAAACTGCTGACATTACCAGAAAACATCACAATCCACATGTCAGCAGATGTGACAAGACTGGCACAACTAACGCAATGTGATCCTCATGAAGTCTGGAAACAGGAGCTCCTACCAAAGGAACTGCAGAAGGAAGTGGGCAAGGTGGATTTGGCAAAAAAGTGAGTTTTAAAAATATTTAAATAATTTTTTGTGATACTAAAGAAACTGAACTGTGATATAAAAGAACTGAAATTCCTGTTACAATGTTGATATTGGATTACTGCATGTTTTAGAAAAATCGTTTATTCTAACTGATGCATTATTACAAAGTAAACATGATTTTTTTTTTGTTTGTTTGTTTAATTTAGAAAATGCCTTGAACGCAATAATAAAAACCTCATATCAAGCCATTCTTTCCCTCGTCAATTCTTAAAACTGACAATCAGTCTTTTTCTCCAGACAACCAATCAAGTTCTCTCACTCTTTCCTCCGTACCCTTGAAGAGACATCTCAGAGTATGGGGATCATTTGTGGTGTAGCAGCCGTGGAGTCAGCATACCTAATTCTCAGTGTTCCCTGCCTTACAACCTACATCCATGCTGACACTGCACCTGTCATGGTATTCATACAGTACCTGACACAACTAGAGGGACCCATGTGGAGACAGATCAGAGGCATGGGACTGTCCTATGGTTACAGGTAATTGCTGTGAACAGTGACCTTGATAGAGAGCTACGGCTTTCTAGGCCATGAATGTGAGGGAGTGTGTGGCTTTTAGCCAGTTTGAACCTTTGGATGCATTTTAATACTAGTAGATATCAGCAATATAAATTATGTAATGAAATTTGGCATGGGCAGTTTTTGAACATTTTCAGTACTTTAATTGACTGAAATAAGTGTGTTTTGAGGTAATTTAAATCTTTAGCTGGTTACCCAATCCCCAATCTTGGAGATCCCTCTAAAGCCAGAAGGTGTAGTTTTCAATAATTTTGTTTTTTGTTTCAGAATGAGCATCAAGCAGGAGACTGGTCAGCTGTACTTTATCCTGTCCAGAGCTGCCCAGCTGTCCAATGCCTACAAGCAAGCCAAGATCATTGTGGTAAGGAATCGTGGTCTTGTCCATTTTTTAAATTTACACAAATTGATAATTTAGTTTGGATAGCTTTGACATGAAATATTTTCCTGAGATTTTAGTCTGAGTAGAATATGCAGTGCTGAGGTAATGTTGTGATAATGAAAATGTTATTATTATGTATATTCTCTTTTTTAGCCTTTCAAAGACTTATTTGATTTTTGTATAATATTTCATTTAGGTGTGTGACAAAAAAAGTTCTTTATTTATAATATTTATGTATCATGATATTTTACATGATAGAATATAATTTCAGGAAGAATTCCTTACTGGTCAGACTGAATTCACAGAGGTAGACCTGGAGACGGCCAAGAGTTCTCTCATATTTGAAATCATTGAGGAAGAGACTTCAGTCTCTGACACTGCCTTCCAGAGTATTCTCAGCTACTACAGAGGAGTGGAAGTTGACTACAACAGGTATCTTTTTCTCATACCACACCCTGAAGAGTCAGAGAGTAATAACACTGTTACAGAAATATATTATCAGAAGAATAGTTTTTCAGTTTTCCCCACCACAGAGGTCACAGGAAGAGAGATAGGAAGGGGCTTTATTTTTATGAAAAATTAATAAATAAACTTTCATTGGTTTTACAGCTCTTTACTTCAAAAACAGTTGAAATAACATCTACATGGTATTGTTTTTCATCTTTTAAGCTTTTTTATTGAATAATTGTAGGCAACTCCTCCAGGACATTGCCAAAGTGAGCATCAAGGATCTCCAGAGAGTGAGTAAGCAGTATTTCAGCCAGCTGTTTGACCAGACCAAGTCCAGGTGTGCCGTCTGCTGTGACTCTGCCAAAGTGGAAGAACTGCAGAAAGAATTCAAAGAGTAAGAGATTGTAAATCAGTGAAAGATTTTTCAAAAGTGACCAAGTTTTAAGAAATGCATGCATGAGCACACCACAGATGTTAAAAACTTGACATGTTGTCAGCAAACACTAAATGCATTTATCTGAAAGACTTCATTTTGTGTGACAAAGAAATACCTTAAGGTGCGACAAAGGTGTAAAGCAGAAAATGAATGGACCAAATGACTACAGTATCTCATGATTAAGAATTCGCCAGTATTTGCCTGAGATATAACATTGCTACTATTAAGTTGCCATTTCAGAATGTCGTTCTTTCTCTTTTACGCTGTGATAATTTCATTGCAGGTTGGATAGAGACCTGGCAGTGCTGCCATCTTTGGAAGAAGGACTTCTGGCTGAACTGAAGATGTAGGCTATGCTGATGTTCATTTAAAATCACCGTGTTATAAGGAGGAAGTTATTGTCAAAATGTATTCAGGAATTTACAATAGTTCATATTTGTAGTGGAGTCTTTGACTAGCCTAATGAATAACTCCAAATCCTTTCCATGTTCTCAGTATTGTACCTATGGCCAACTATATGTTTATTGGTCATCAGCGCGTTTTGATACCTAGACTAAACCCAAAATTTGTATTTGTACTATGTCTTTTTCGCTGTGATATTGACTCTACTTTTTTGTTCAGTGCAATCAGGAACGTTGTGCTAGCAATCTAGAATGTTGTCTGTTACTCTCTGCAGTCTTTATTCAGTGCAGCAAAGATGTTGTTTTAATGTTATTTTAAAATAGTTTAAACATTTGACAGCAAAGATGGCATTTCAAGACTCTCATACCTGATCCAGAAAAGAGAGAAAAGACATTTGCTGCACGTTTTTTAAAATTATGTTCAGTATGTAGACTGTTCACATCACTATAATCAGGGTACACTGCATTAAAACAGTAACACTAATAAAATCTCATACAAGGTTATTGACGTCAGAAAGCATCAATAGAATTTTATACTTATCAGTAATCGGATTTTAAATATTTTATAATGATACTCTTTTTAATTGTTTTTAAGTGTTTAGATGATACATGCATATCTCGATTTTTCATGTTTTAAATGTATAATGTAGCTAGTTGTGTGATTAAGAATTTTAATGCAGCAAAGAACAGCAATCATCACTATGGAGAAGTGAAATCCCATGCATCAAATCAACACTGTTAAACAGAATTGTGTGAAATAAAGCAAAGGAAAAAAATCAACTTGAAAGTTTTTATTTGAACAAGTCACTGTCAAGCTGCAGTTCTGCATATATGTAATACTGCTTCATAATATATACCTGCACAACAATATTCAATGTATATCTGGTGTACATTATATACAGCAACACCTTCATTTCTGACTTGGCTATTATAAGTATAATCATTATTCTCATTACATACACATTCCGTTTGTTGATTATAAAAATGACCAAAGTGCATCTACTTTACTCCTGCTACCATGAACTTTAACCAAGTCTATTGTCATGAGGCAAAACGCCCAAAAAATTAAGATGGTACATTTTCATCAAACTAAGACAAAATCCTTACAAACATGGAACTGCTAGTGGAAAATGTTAGAGCTGAATCTGATCATTTGAGCCAATGCCTAAAAACTGGACATTGGAAACAATACACCACATTTCATACACTATAATGCCTTTCTATATTCTTGAAATACACAATGCTTTATACAGAAAAACTCTTTCTCAAGTTACTGAACATAACCACGGATCTCTGGTCTGATAAAGTTATAAAAGTGGGAACAGATTACATTAATCTTTTGGTGATCTATTTCATCTGAATGTCATTATCTAACAAGCGTAAGTGAAAAAGCAACCAAAACTTCAAATAATGTCTACCTGAACCTTTTCAGGTAGACATTAACTACAATGCGCATGTTGCTGAAGCTGAACAGTTGCAACACAAAGAATGGAGGATATTTCAAATATATACTGTATTTACTTGCATGCAAGTTTTGTACAAAACAGCATGTCTTAAAAGGGTCTTCTTTCAGTTCCAAATTTGTAACTGGACTCATGCAGCAATTTTTTTTTATTATTAATTTTTCATATTAGAAGTCGTTTTAGAAATTGCTCTTGCTTCAATTAGTTATTTATATATGGGGTAGTGGGGGCTTTTACTCAAAAACATAGTGTATCTTTATTCCACTCAGATCTACACTACTCAGCAAACATTGTACACAAGTGGTATTGATGTGCCATGGTGGTTGGGAGACATTTTTTTTGTTCAGGTTCAAGCAGCTGTATAAAATGATATTTGTCAGTTTTGTATGAAACTGGTCTTCTTTAGAGCATATTAAGTATTTTCCTTTTTTTTTCTTTTTTTGTCACATTAAAACCTTTCCTACTACCATCTTTGGGTCTTTTAAAACCTTTAGGAGTATAGCTGTTTGTATCACCTTTTACCACACTTATTGATTTATTTTTCTTAACAAAATTAACAAATTTATTGATTATGTATCAATTATCAACATGATTACAGAAGATTTCCCTTGTGACCATGTTTCAAGAAAAAAAAAATGTATTCTCGAAGAGCAGTGAGACAAGTTGTCAATACTGACAGTAGTCCTGGCTAACACTACCTTCAGCAGTCAATTCAGATATACAACATTCAACAAATAGTTACTGCACAGTTCATTCAGTTGTCTAGAGTCAGACTCGGTACTTTTCTCATACATGCCAGGGTGTATTGTATTTATCAAACACAAATTTTAATTTGAACCTTCAATGTTAATGACAAAAAATCTCCTCTGATCTTGTTTGGCTGGAGAAATGAACTGATCCTCACCAGCACGTCACAGTATGACAAAAGAACTGATGAAATAATGACTTGATGAAACATGTATTAGAGTTGAGGTATTTCTACAACTACAAAATGATGAAGTCAAGTCTGTTTTTCACTTCCTTGTTCACAACACACTGTGATGAGATGAAAAATTATGGACATGATGAATATGAGTGGTTTGCGGCTACACAGTCTCCAGTTTACTGTAGACAATGAAATGATGAATGTTCCTATGTTATGAACATGCTTAGAACGGTCAGCTCAGAAGTTCTTTGCACTTGGTCAATAAGGATGTCCTTCTCTTTGAATGTGTTCTTTTCCTTCTTCCAATATCAGCACATCCACTAACTTGTATCATAAATACTTCAAATGTCAAAATGGAGCTGAGATGGAACAGTCTTACTTTCAAACCATGACTTTTTTGTAGGTAAACAATGAAGAATGACCAACTTAAGTCATCATAATTCTGGCATGTCATCATCATGACAACAAAACATTCTCTCTTTGATGTTAACTCTCTTCTAATTGGTGCTGAAGGCTGCCCAGTTATCCACTCAGCCTGAACTCATCAACAAGCTACTGTGTGGGAGACTGGTGTGGTGGTGACTGTTGTGGAGTGGGAGACTGAGCTCCTCCTGGTGGAGGGAGCGGAGGACCGTTGACACCAGGATGAAGGAACTGACATGACATTGCAAAACGACAGCCACGTCCTGCTGCCATGAAGTGTCTGCACACTGGACGATCACCTATAATCATCAAATATAAAATTCAAATTATAAAATCACTTATGGATAAAAGTATCATTTAACACAAGGTGATTTATTTTATGAGGAATGAGCACTTGCAAAAAATTTTCATTTAATTTTCTCAATTTTTTCAAGATAATACCCTGCAAAGTATTACTCCTAGAACTTCTTTCTGTCTCTCTCTCCCCTCCATCCTCATCAAACCTAACTGATTAAAAACCTACCTCTCCCTATCCCCCTTCCTCTCATCATAGGGGGTGGTGGAGGTCCCCGGGGACGGAAAGGAAATCCTGTCGGCATACGGCCACGCATCATGGGCACTGGACCCCTACCTGGACCTGAAAATTACACCTCATTATCAATGTGAAAAGTAAAGCTTCATGGTCTACGTGTTTCTAGTAAATTGGGAGATGTTCTGCAGTGGGCTTTTAAACTTGCATTGTTGTACTTAGTGACACAAAAGCTAATGAGTGAAAAAATTAAGTGCCAGAGGCAATGACAAGGAGTAGTATTACATAAATTCTATTGAATTTGGGACAACATTTTTTTTTCAAAATTTCAATCTTCAGTTCAAGACCATTTGTGCTGAGAACCCCTACCTCTGGGTGGCATCATAGGCCTAAAACCAGGTGGAGCAGAGCCCAGTAAGCCAGGGAGATGAAGTGGTATACCAAACTGAGTCATCATGAAGTTAGGAGGGAGTTGGTTCTTAAATGGTTCAAGTGCTCGACGTAAACTCTCTATTTGTTGCTGGTCTCCTCCACCCTGATGCAAACATAAGAAAATAATTGGTAATATATTGTACAGTGTGATTTAATGGATTTGGTGCACATATCACGAACATTCCAACAGGACTTTAGGTACCTAGATTTCCATATTTCATATAATAACCTATTTTCCATAAAATTTGCAACAACAACAAAAAAAAAGTCATTTATAACTTGCAACATAGTAATTGCTATGACTTACAGAGAGTGAACTGAGAATATTTTTGATATTTTGTATATCCCCTGGACTAATGGGAGCAGGCGGTGATGAGGGGGGCTGGTGGGGTTGTTGTTGCTGGTCACCCTGTTTACTGTGGTCATCTTGTTGATCCTGGGGCTGCTGCTGGCGGGCCAAATTCTGGATCATCTCTGCTATGTCTGGTGGTAAACTCACTAGAAATCACAAAATTGCACAACTGAATTGAACATTTCAAAGTACAAACTAGCATTTTCTTTTACTTGATTTTTATCCGTTTTCAGGCATGTATACATTTGTCCACCTACATTCGCCATTCTGCCAAACATGAAAGAACATGCAAGTTTTCTGTTATCTTTTTTCCTTTTATAATGATTTGCATCTCATGTGTCTCATCTGTTTCCATCATTCATATGTAGGTGGGTAAAGTTAAGCACCTTATTTACATCTAACTTGTGTATCACAGTGTATGTTAATTCAATGATGGAAATGAATCTTGGAATTCAGTAAAATTCACCTAGTGCAGTTTTCTGTACAAAGTAGGACACTTACATTGTAAGTATTAATTTTAGAAGGTATTTTTTGTGCTGACCTATAGTATTAAAGTTACAATGTGTTTCCTGTCCTTTGAGAGCATCCTTATTTTATAGCACTTGTTATAGTATGCATCTTAACATGCCTGTTGTTCTATACTTACATTGTGGCTGTTCCTCTCCCTCCACATGTGGTGCTGCAGCCTGGTCTTCTTCCACAGCTGGTTCCATCTCATGGTCTGCAGAGGCCTCCTGGAATTGTACAATGATATTATGTTTTACTGTGCTTATGATGTTTAGCGTAAAAAATTCTCGAAATGCCAAACAATGGAATACTAAACAGTAAAGAGTTTGATATGTTGGCATATTTTGATTGCACTGTAGTTCTGTTGAATATTAGTCTTATGAAATATATATAACCAATTAGTACACAACATATGAAACAAGCAAAAACATCAATGATCAGATGACAAGGACAAAAGACAATGTGTGTTTATCTCAAATGATGAAGAGTAGTAAAACTAATTCCAAAGCGAACAGAACAATGTTTGCACTATCCATTGGATTAAGCACACACTTTAAAATTAACAAGAAAACAGGACCACCAAAAATAGGAATATTCAATCTTATTAATCCATGGAATTCAGTATAAGCTGGTTTGGACAATTACTTCTGAAAAATGGGGGTCATTTTAAAGGTCTTTTTGAAAAACTGTGTTCGAAATTAATTAATCCCATCAGCTACTCGTACAGAAACCATGGTTAAACTATGTAATTAAAGCAATGCCTTTTTTTTAAGTATCACACAAAATAAATAAAAAACAATTAGTAAAATTTCTAACATATAGAAGAGAAGTCTATATAAACCCCTTTCAAGAAAAAAAAAAGAATAATCTTGGTTGTGTACATACTGTAACACAAGTCTTATCAGCACCTTCGACAGAGATGAGAGGAGGATTGAGAGGTATCTGAAGGAGAGAAGAAAGAGCTGGCCTGCAAAATATTGTGACGGAGTTGATTTCTAGAACACATGCTAAGAAAATTGTTTAAGAAAATCATATGTTACATAGACCAACTCTCCACAAACCAACATGCAAATGCACCAGGCATTACTAAAACACTTACATCTTCTAATGGAATGATTTTAGGTTCAGATGGTGTGTAGTTCTCAGGATCTGGCTCCTGGGCAGTATCTGGTAGCCTGCAACAATAAGACACATTAGAATGTGATGTAAGATAAACTTCAATTTGTAAAAGCCTGTGGTTAACACTAAATTTCTCCCTAGGCAAAACAGTAAAATTTTGATACTAATAGAGTACAACTTCACACACATTTTTACAATGGAAACTTTCCATTTTTTGTATTCATTAAGCATTATTCTTTTCCATATAGCGTAATGAATTGCTTATCTACATTTTTGGGGAATTGTAGCAATTTCAGAACCCTTCCAACACGAACTTAAAGAAAAACTTACATGTCCTTAGAGAAAAAGATGGCCTGTAATACTGCTTTCTCTCTTTGGGCCTGTGTCTCTCTCTCAGTGCTCCTCTCCCCAGGGGCTGTAGGAAGCTGAGTCAGACCATCTATACGATGAGGGCGATGCCACTGAAAACCAAATCCACAACTATGAAAGTTCAAAAACAAAAACAGTATTCTTAATGGATAACATTGACAATGCTTATACTTAACAGACACTAGCCCCTATATTTTGATTTTTTTTCAAGTAGAATTAAACCTACCAAACCACCACCTTTTTCCAAATATCACAAGCAATGACTCTCTTATCAATGTTAGAAATAATTTAACTTATAATAAAAGGCCTCTGCAAATGTAGTTGATACGCCTGACTAAATTAGCCCATATGATATATCATAAATAAAACAGCCAAAATGGTATTGCATATTTTGTGGGTTACATCCTCCATGCTTTGTTATATCACTTACATTTGTTTTCTCATTCATCTTATCCTGTGCCTTCTTCTTAGCCACCTCCACTATGTGTCTGTCTTCCATCATCTCTTTCTTCTTCATCTCCTCAAAATTCAACCTGTTTACATTGACTCGTTCCGTCTCATCCATCTCAAAGTAGTGGATTTGACGCAGATTGGCATCATCCACCCAAGATACTTTCTTTTTCTTCTTGCCACTTGATGCTTCTGTACTTTTTTCATTATCTCCAGAAGATTGCGAGGACCCTGCAGAATCTTAAAAATATATAAATCAATTAATAAATCAATTAATAAATAATACTGTTTACTGTGTAGGTATGCATATGCATCAATGCAATGATAACATATATGTCAGGTATAAAGAATTTGTACCTCAAAACCTTTATTGGCAGTGGGATTTAGCATGGTGCAACCAAAATACTATAAACAAATTGTGATCCTGTTCTAAATGTGATCTCTTACTTGAGTTATCATCTTTCATTTCCACATCATTAGATTCAGACCCCTCACTCTGTTTCTTGTCAGTTCCTGGTGGTGATGAAGCTCGTTTCTCTTCTTTATTCTCATTTGAGGTGTCTAATGTGTCTTTGTAAAACTAAAAATATATACATAAAACCTTTTTAAATACACATATCACTTACTAAAAATCACAACAGCTTTATTTCTGCCAGACTCATACTTAAAAGCAAACAGTAGGCAGAGATATTGGACTTGTCATCACAAGTGTCATCATCACAATTACACCTCATCCAGGACAATTGGGTAGATGAAGACATGGCTTTATGTGAGGCATTTTGAAAAAATAACCTTAATAAGTAAACAAATTGTACACTCTACTGAAGTAAGAACACATATACAATATAAGTTTTAAGTGAAGTCAGCAGACGTACAGATAACTGTGGTTTAGGCATGTTTGGAGATGTTGGTGTGGTTGGTTTTGGTGGCAGTTTCTTCTTCCGTCTGACAGGGACTATAGCAGGGGCAGTCAGAGCATCCATAAATCCTCTGCTTTCATGAACCTCATGTTGGACAGCTGAAATATATATGACAAAATAGTCAAGTGATTACTAAGTCTTTGCAATGAATAAAATACAAATACAAAGTACTTGCTACTGCTGTCTTCTGATTGGACACTTAATCTTATAATTCAGTCTATAATTTTAAAATCCATAGAAAATTAAGAAAGTGACAATAAACCTCAAACTGATGATTGTTCATTACTTCAAACATACAAGGATCATGAGGAGCCTTCTATGAAAATAAAGAATCAATATAATTTTCAGTATCACATTCTTCAGTCAGCATTACAGTTCTAAAAGAAAGGCAATAATCAAACTACGAACAATGTGAAATGTGTCACACATACGCCTTGGTTTAGCTGGAATGATTTTAATTTTCCCATGTGTTTCTGTTGGTGGTGATGTTGCTGTTGGTGATGCACCGTTGGCACTTGTTGAGGGCATAATGGGAGATGGAAGGACTGGCCTTGGTTTTTTCTCAGGGGGAGCAGTAAGAGGCCTATTGAATGGGGTTGGCCTGAAACAGATAATGCATTTTGATAAACATGGGTCACAAGACCTTTGTAGAAATGTATGTAATTTCAGTACAGCAGATGAAAACAATTTATCAATTTTTTCCATGTGGCAGACAAACTGAAACTTGGTAAACTGTTGTTAATCATTTCGAGACCTACATAAGACATTCAGTGAAGCCTGACATTTGTATATTATTTTCAGTTTTTGTCAATAACTCTGTTTTATCACATATTATTCACAAAGAATTTAACCAATATATGTTTATTATGTAATACCCATAATACGTACAGTGGTCTTTTTACAGGTGGTTTATCCTTATTAATACTGCCTTTCTTTTTCTGTACTAATGTCGTCTGCTCCTCTAATCCAGTGGAGCGGAACTTAGACGGTAAAGATTTAACAGTTTTAGCCCTTTCTTTCTGCTGACTAGAGCTCTTATTTTGTGAGGAGTTCAAAGAATTAGATAAGTCTTTTGATTTGTTAGCACTACTATTTAAAGAGTCTCTTCTCTCTTTCTTTGAGTCACTTTTACTGTCTTGGCCATTTGACTTTTCGTCCTTAGTTTTCTCTTTTTCTTTACTCTTCTCTTTATCTTTGTGCTTCTTCTTTTTCTTACTTTTGTCTGCAAAAGAAGTGAATACTTTTGATTATGGCTGCAATTTTCTTTCATATACCCTGAACTCTAAGCTCATTAAAGCATAAAATCCAAACCAAACAGTTTTTACCAAAAGGGAACCAATCTTATTCTCTTTGATCTAAAACACTTCCAAAGAATCATCTGACTGGGTAATCACTTCATGCAAAGAAGCTCACTTTAAACATGAAAGAGTTGAAAATCATCTGAAATTTTCAATTTCTTCTAACACAGTTCATTAGAACTTACCAGTGGATGCTTCTGTTCCCGATTTCTCTTTTATCTTCTTCATCCAATTATCAACTATTTCTGTGGCCAAAGTCTTCACAACTGCAAGTATCAAATACATACTAGATTAAAATCACGTTCAGCAAATCTCATTATAATAGTTATTATATTTTTTACACACAAACCACATGTCTAAGGTACATCAAATACAGCTAAAACACCCCCAATGAGTCACTTTATTCAATAACAATAATCCAGTGGAAGACATCATTGAGCAAGTTTCAAAAAAGTTTTGGATTGCAGCAATGTTGTGACTTAGCGACTTTGGCAGTTTAGCCACAAAATATTGTAATAACAGAGAGCGTGCACCCAATAAGATGTTTTTTTTTCACTGCTCTTGCTTTTAGCATGCAAGGTCATTTTGAAGCTAGGCCAAGATTTAAATTGCTTACTTTTTTTGTAGATTTCTTTCGGGCTTATTTAACAATATTGATTAAAATTCAATTTTAAAAATGAAGCTGCAACATACCATTTTTTATTTTTTGGTTTATCTGCTGAGCAGAATGTGCTAGGCACGACATAACAGCATTGGTATCTTTCAACACCGGATTATTAGGAATTTCAAGTGTCATAAACAGCATTCTTTTCACCCAAAAGACGTTTCAGTGTTGCAGCAAGGTCCTTTTTGTGTGTTTTAACATTAATCATGTGCATATCAGCTTGCCGTATTTTCATCTCAAACATGTGGTTTGTTGTAAAAATATCATAACACTTTATTAAAAAACATTTAGACAATATACAATAAAAATTTAACAATCTTATAAAATAAAATACTGCACTTGACTTTAAAAGCCACACAAAAAAATTCAAAAAATAATCCTTTGACAACCATTTCCTCTCTCTCGAGTATTTCTAATTCCCTGCACAATTGATTCTAAAAGAGAATATAAGTCAAAGAAAAGTCAGTGCTTGTATGTGCATATTTAGCAGTGTTTTGTTGCAAATCTTGGATATGCACAAAATCAAATAGGACTTCTAAGAGACTGCCAAAGTTGCTTTTAATGTCTGTCACATCCATGGAAATCATCCATATTGTAAATAACCGCTTTGAGTGTAAATGGGACTCTTTGGCACTTGGAATTGTAAAAAGTTTCATGGACAATGAAGACCATTTCCCTTCATCATGATGATCTTGGCAACAGTTCTTATGGCAATACACAATTTTCACTGGATTATGTCCTATGGTGTTATATCCAGGCACTTCTCTTTGTTTCACATGTCCAAGAAGTAGTATGTTGCAAATGTCAAGAGGTTTTTTTCCCTGTTAAGATCCGTTTTTGGAGAAGTTTTCCATAATCTTATAGGAAGACTGTTTCATTTAAAAACATTGTGAAGGTCTGGCAAGTAGCCTTACCTAACAATCAATTAGAAAAAAGCAAATACATACAAGATCAATAGAATGAGAGAGCAAAATGTTATGCCATAATTATCCTTCACAAACATTATAATGAAACAGTCTTGAAAAAAGATCTATGGATCAACTCCAAATTAAACACAGAGGCTAATCATCTTTATCCCTGAAAACTTACTACCATCTTCCTCCTTGCTTAAATTTTTTATTGTTTTAGCACAGTTGTTCTTTTTTAGTAGTTCCACTGAGACTGGCATCTGTTGATAAACTTTAAGAATCTCCATCAAGAAAGATGCACTGCTGGAGTCTGCCTTGGCATCCTGAAGCCAGGTATTGAGTAGATCCCAGCCTCCTTCTGATATGAACCTGTAATGAGATATAATTATTAAATGACTGTTACACGGCCACTGCATTTAAGATTCAATGAATGCTACAAAAGTTCAATGTTTTAGCACAGCTATCACTTTGATACTGAAATGTTATTAGAACTGACCACCACTGCACTAGTGATAACTGTAGAGTTAACAATTACAGCACACAAAATCAAGTATCTCATTAAGTTACAGGATGGTATTACCATAAGATCACTTTTGGAGAAGCTGAGCACAATCAGGTACAGTATCATAAAAGTTGCCAGCAACTTCACTTAAATCAATATTCACACAGAAGACAGCTCCAATTTCAGGGGCAACAGAAGCTGCCTTTTTCATTTATCTAATTCCCATACACGCATTACGGGCAAGCTTGTATTATCTGTACTTTAGTGGTATTTGATAGAAGTCTACCAGCAATCAGAATCAGTATCTAATTGGTGAGTATTCAATAAAATTTGCAAATGTGGACAGTTAAAATGTAGAGACTGGCACCAATGAACCCAAAACTCAGGGTGTATAGAAGCAAAAAGACCAAAATTATTCTATTTATGATCAAAGAAAAGAAATCATACTTGGAAAAAACATCAGTGTGATTGGCAACTTGTTATTCTGCATTGAAATTACCAAAATGTTCAATTTTGGTTTTAGACCTAATAACCTTATTAAATTTTCTGCATTTTTTTTTTTACTTTTTCACTTATATTTTTGTTCCTTTTTAAAATTAATCATCAAGTCTTTTCCATAAGATTTGTAATAATTACAATTTTTGAAATATTACATTTCTGATGCATTCTCAACTTCCTTGTAATTATTCTCCACAAAAGAGCTCCAACTTTTATTGGTTATCAGTCTAGTATTTGAACTCCACTATTACGACTTAAGCAAAATTTACTCTGCCAAAATAATTAAAAGCATTGGGACAGATCAAAAAAATTCTTGCATTTCACTCTACCAAGAAGTGACATGTACATTTGCATAGATTTATTACACAGAAATAAATTTGGGTGAACATATTTTCTCCTAAATTTGGTTACACAATCTAATCAAGGATCAAGAACCCAAAAGTTAAACACTACCTTCATCAAGTCATCAAATATTCAGATTTTAGCAAATCCAATAATGGCTTTACTTAGAAATATAAGAGTTTTTTATAAGTTAATGGTTGAACATTCAGACTATAACAAAATATTTCAAAACTTCTACAAACTCATATTACAAAATAAATCCTTTTATTTCCAACCCTTACCCCCCCTTTACACATAAACATTTACTACTTGAAGAAAAACATAGTGAAGTAAAAGGACATACTTTTCTAAAATCTCCTGCTCATTGGTTGCTCTAAGAATATTGAGATAGGTGCATCTACTGACCATCTTGCTGGCATCCTTCATGAGGCTGAAATGAAGGCAAAGCATTCTGAATTACTATCCTAAAAGTGAAGCAAGTAGGCAAATTAACAAATACCCTGTCATTTTGAATTCAGCTGAATTAATATCTAAAATAATGTTTGAACACTCTGATATAAATAAGTTAGTAGGCCCAAACACCACTGCACAATCCAGGCAATTCTTACTTCACCATCCTTTGCACTGCTTCTTCATTAAGAATGCTGCCATCCTTACCCACCAGTGCTGACAAGCCTTGTAACAGTCCATGAGGATCTATGGGCCCCTGAAAAACAGAATCAATATCTGCAATCTGGTGGCTCTAAACTTGAACAAGAAATTGATTAACATATGAAAATTACAGCAGTGTTCTTAAAATACTACTTTGCGAGGCTTGTGGGATATTGTGAGAAGTGAAGGGCATTGTTTTTTTCAACACACAATAAAGTCTTTTGTTGAAGATTCAATGATACAAAATATTTTATTTGATATGAGGGACATTTGTCAAAAAAGTTTGGCGATTTCCAATAGTGATCTTTTCCCCAACAGATTCTTATAAAATGATCTTCAGACTGATGAGACTTAGGACTCATTTTATAATAGATAAGACAATCAGAAAAATAGTTTTCAACCTTCTTACTTAGATAACTAAACCTTTTGAATAAATCCTAATCAAAACAGGGAACATACCAAATAAAATGCATGCTTGATATACATCATAATTTTGCCTTGTTCGCACAACACAGAATCAAATATCTTATATCATACCTCAACTATAAGCATCCCTCAAAAAACTTTGGGCCCACCTACCCGTTCAAACCACTTCATGTTCTACAAGGTTATTAGGCTCACCTCATTTTTACATACCGTCCTAATCACAACATCAAGCATCATAAATGAAGTTCAAACATTAACAACCAAAAAGAAAAAAATTCCAAGTTAAAGAATTTTATTATCTTATCACATTGCACGCCATCCGATAATTTGAATATTCCACTGTATATCACTGCACAGGTTTTTCTTTGGCACTTTGACAAGAATGTAAACCTTGCTTGTAATTAAAAGTCACTCACTTAAAAAAGAGAGAAAGACTATGCAAGACCTAGAAAATATTTTAACATTAAGTATTTATGTTTGTTTTATTCAAGTATTTTCATCATTTTTTAAATTAATTTTTAAAGAAAAAGTTCACTTCAAGAATTAAGGGAAATGTACTGAATCAGGATTAAAACCCATTTTGTCAAGCCTTCTTGTAAAAAAGAAATTTATAGATATAATCTCGTTTGGATACTTTCAGTCAATGATGATCATTGTCAATTTTTTTATATAATGAGTGAAAAGAAAGCATATATTGCAAGCCCAAGAGCAATATGAAAATGGATGACAAGATGAGACAATTTTCTCTTTATTTTTTGTCTTATGGATATCATTATTATTATTATTATTACTTTGACTCTGTGGAATTAATTTAACTAATATGAAATTATTAAAAAAAAAAAAAACGGTAATTATTTTTATTTTCTACACAAATTGCCGATTGACCCAAAGTTGATGAATTTAGTGTTTCAAATTACAGCCGACATTCAAGAAGAAAACAAAATTTTCTTAGATCCTTTTTTTGTTTTTCACTACCTAAAAAGAAACCAACTTCAACCATGCCATTTATTCGTTTAAGATGAGCAAGCAGATCAGAAAGTACTTAATGATTTTTTTTTTCAGTTTTTAATTTCTATTCATCTAAACTGCACGAAAAGGAGATACTATTCCAGTGGGTTATCTTCTTTCAATGGATTTTCATATTCTTTTTTTTTTCCACAGTAACTAGTAACCTGGTGAGTTAGTTACATAATGCAAAAATAGACATGCAAGCTCTGAAAACTAGTTGTGAAAAAGGGCCCTCTACTGTTGTTTAAAGCAAACTGCCAGTATCAAACAATGGGTTTTTACAGAATCTTTTATCTCAATTTTTTTCTTCCAAAAGGTGAATCATCAACGTTGATCATGTCCCAATTCTTCTTCTTCCCCTCATTCCACAAAAATTTGGTGCTTTTTGTCACAGAATATTTGGTGGACCCAAAAAGTATAAAATACTGATATACAAAATGTCTTTTACAAACTTAATCCAAATAGGCATTTAGGTAAGCCGTTTTTGACATGCTCATTTTGTTAAATTCAGATCGAAAAAATTACCATGTTTTTTATCATTAAAGATTGCATCTGCAGTCCTTCACACCCCATCAACTCATTTTCTTCTGCATGTTGAGTATCTGGACTTTGTGTTTCAGGTATCATAAGGAGACTTCAGGTATGCTTATTTTTGTTTTTCTGAAAGAGAAAAGCACAAAATTAAGTTTCCAATATTGATAAAGTCTAAGTCAATATTACACATATACGNTCTAAGTCAATATTACACAAATACGTAAAAGATACCCCCACTCAAATAATTCTACAGATGATGGTTGTTCTACTTTTAACCTTTGGCAGACATCATTTATGCAACAAGAATAACACAATAAATCATACCCCTCACATTCAAAACAATAGCTAGTTAAAAATGAACACAAATATTTGAACCAACCAAGTTAATATTTCACTCAAGAAATTTGTGTCAAGCTTCATCAACCTGTGCTTTCCATCTCAAAAGACCATCCATTTTTTTTTTAATATTTACAAGGAACTTTTAATTAGCAAAGCAGTTTAATAGGGCACAAAAGACTTAGGAGAATTAACCCATTAAAGCCTTCACTTCGACATATTTTAGACAAATTTAAGGACCTCAATTTTTAAATGTTTTTTGAAAATCAGACTGCTTTTTCAATTGAAGAATGAAAAGACTATATTTTAGTGAAACAATTTCCCTCCATAGCAATAGTTGTTAACCTTGGTCTTTGCAGCATACGTTCATCCGCCAGACTTGGAATGCTAAGATCAAATTATTTGTAGAGTTTAAATAGGTAGTGGGACATGACCATTAGTAAATCTTGACCATTAGAAAATCCTTGATAACATGTTACTTTTGCAAAATTGGTTTTTAATAGGGGAATGGTCTTGAAGCATAAGGCTGTTCTTGACAATTTTCAAACTAGATAAATTTTGGGCTTCTATCAGCAGATATCTCAAAATTGTACTATTTACATGATTTTTCCCTCACAATTAACATCTTACTTTTTTATGATTAATCCAAGGACAATTTTTTTATGTTACAGATAAAGAAAGAGCTGTGCAGGGTCTGCCTAAAAATAGTAAACCAGCTAACACACCTTAACGCCTCCCCCCCCCCCTAAAAAAAAAAAAATTCACTATCAAGAACTCCTTTTAAGGTCTGTTGCTCAATATAATGACCCAATAATGGTAATTGAAACCAGAATAGAAGTTTGTTAAATGTATCAAAAAGATAAAATGACATTTGCTTGTCAGAGTCAATAAATGTTGATCTTGTGGTGCCAATTTTAGAAATTATATAATAGTGTATAAACAGAAAGAAAGAAATCCAGTACACTACTACAGATGAAAGTATTTGGAGAGGTTTTAAAAATCTGCCATATAAATAATGCATATTAACAAGCATACTACATGAAACAGTAAGGAAAACATTGCCTTAAAAGAAGGCATGTACTGCATACATATCTATCTTAATGGGGGAAAATATGCAATGTTGCAACACTTGCAAGCGTTGTGTGGAAAATCTTCATTGGATTTCCTTAGATCACGTCCTGAAAATTCTCCCGCATGTTCACAGTGATCTTAGTTCTTTCATGATGTGCTTTGGCTTGATCATATGAACCATCTCTTCATTTTACACTCAAGTAAAAGAACCATGATGCTCATGGTAAAAATCTCTTCCTGTCAATTGCTATCAATAAATTTTTCCAACTCAAGTAAACTGGTTCCTTGGTAAATCATAAAATGTCAATTTTTAAAAATCAAAACACTCAACTTCATACCATAAAAACTAGCAAATTTTCACTAGATTTCTTCTGCATGTTAAACAGAACATATTACTTTCACTCCACACATAGATTTTTTCTGTGTTCAGTGGACAATTCTACCTTCTTGGTAGACATTTTGTTCAGTAAGTCAGCAAGCTTCCTCATTCAAGATTCTCCTCTTTCCATCTCAAATCAACAGACCTCGACTTTTCTTTTAGCAGATAGTGGTTTTCTATCTAAATGTTAACTATTAACAGAATAAGTTGCCCAAACAATCTTAACTTGGGAGATGATCTTCAAAAGTCAGTCAGGCATTTTACACGTTCAGAAAGAAAAAGCAATATTCTTTCCGTTTTAATTGAGTAAAATTCCCAGATGATATTAAGATAATATTTTACTTGCAGTGAACTTCACACAATATTTTATTTTTTAAATACAAAACCTTTCACCCTCATGGAACATGATTTTAGCACCAGGTTACCAAAAGCATAGATAAATATGACTATGTCATTCTTATACATAAATGATATCTGCCAGCGTCACGAACATTTCTTTATTTTTTGACAATTCAAAAGTTAGAATTAAAGATATAAGTTATAAACTTACGTGTTTAAATTATATCCAATATATCTTGATTATTTATATATATATTATGAAAGAAATATCTTAACAGAAATATCAACCACAAAAGTGAAGCTTGGTGTGTGGAAGGGACAATTTTATATTTCCATATTTCAGCAAAGGACCGCGTTGGTTCAAGGTCAAACGTCTGGGTTGGTTTCTTGCCCACTACTCGACACACTGTTTAATTCTGAAACAAAAAGAACATAAACATATAAACTTTTATCTTCTAACTCTATTTCAAACATTAAAAGTTACATCTCAACTGCAAGAAATAGGAAAATAGAAGTAATTTCTAAAATATACAATATGTCTTCCGTACCATACCTGCTACGCCTAAGTAATGACGTCAGTGTTGGACGCATGCCAAACGAAGCCGTAAATAGAGAGTAGTATTGAGAAGATACATTAAATTTAAAACATTACAAGATCATAAAAGGTGATTATTTTTCTTTCAAAGCTTTTATGCGTCTTAAGAAACTGAAAAAATTACTTCAAAGGTTGGTTCATTACATTTTTATTTTGCACCTATTTCTTTTTTTCCTTACGGTTCCCTTACCTCAACCTGTCCACGTGACACAAGATCACGCATATGTCGCGAGAAAATATGTGAACATTTATAAACAAAATGGCAGCGGCTAAACTTACCACGAGCATTTTGTTTTCTCGAAATTTAAACCGACTTGGAAAGGGAATTTACATGTGCCGAAGTGCATTTATGATGAGAAAAACAGCTGTCAATCAGGTAATCGACAGGTTATTTATGTAATAGATCCTGCGCCTTTTCCTTTAGTGCAATGCCTTAACTTAAATGAAAATTCTACCTCGGCAGGCATGAACTCCCAAGCCAAAAGTACGTCGGGAAAATTAACAAATCTGACATTTTGCCTCTTTTACGCACGGTACTTATATACAACAAGCACGAAGTAGCTACATATCCGCACGCTCGGCTGTCACCTAGATTGATCAATTGAACCAAATATAGCACCTACTAGTACATGAGTTGAGATTTTGTAAACTTTGTGATTCGAATAAAGTAGATGAGTTCCACCTCCTGCTAGAGAGCAAAGCATATGATTCAATACGTGATTCCTTCAGAGGTCAGCTGTCAGAGTTCCTACCCCTAGGCGACCTCAGCAATAATGAACTGTTTAATTTTCTTATGGGTGCTCAGGACATAGATATTCTTAGAATGGTCATGTGTTTTGTAAATGGATGCTTTCAACAAAGAGAACAGGCCCTCTCTTAATACATTGTACTCTTTCCAGTGTATTTATTCAAATTCATTGCCTTTAGATTATCATTATACATTTCATATATATATATATATATATATATATATATATATATATATAATAAAAGAAGAAGAACAGCAACTTTCTTGCCCCGACCGGTTTAATTCTTCAGGGGGTTTTGTTTATTTGTTACTAGGTGATGTCATAAAGGCTTAAATGTGACGTCTTTAACAATGAGTGTTTAATTGTTACTTTTACCAAAAGTATTATTATAACTAAAAATAGTATTTGTGTACCACGAAAACAATAATTATTTGCCTGCTGGAGGAATGGATATATAGAGAGATTAGCGGTAGCATGCAGACAATGGGACAATTAAGGCAACTCTTCTGTGATGTTTGAGGAATTGCAAATATGCCGGTGTATATATATATATATATATATATATATATATATATATATATATATATATACTTTGGCCCCATTCAGAATAGGGGAGTAACTAGTCCGAGGGTCAAATATGGCGAACCACTACAAAGCTTGCCATCTAATTTGCTAATAGACTCTGAATAGATATCCCTTGGGGAAAATTCAAGTGGGTCGGCCATATTTGAACCACTCAGACTTATAAGACCGCATTCTCAACGAATTGAGCCAGGCTTTACAATCGTGAGAACTAAAAATGGCGGACGTACATGAAAGAAAAACCGCCTAATCTTTTAATAGTCTCTCCGCCTCTCACACGCCTCCCCACACGTCGTCCCTGCGGAGTACAGTAATTAAATCTGAAAAAGTCTGATCAACATGTCTTTTATTAATTTTATTTCATACACCCTTAGCTCTTTCCAGTTGAATTCAATCAAGCAAGTAGATGGGTCAGCACATCACCCATATGGTGCCAAAAGGATAATGCCAGTGAGGAAGACGAATTAGATGATGACACAGAAGAGGTAAAAGAAGATGGGCGTGTGCATGTTACATTTGCAGAGGCAAAAGCACCTGTAGAGGAAAGTATCGCATACATGCAGAGTGAAGGTGTGTGGTTTTCATTTTGCAGTTTTCATTGTAATTGAAATGGTTGCATTGTACAGTTTTTAGGAATTTAGCCCTTTTGTCTGGTTTACTTCAAATATTGCTGCAATTTTTGTGTAATAATTTTTTTAATTCTCCATCATAAAATTACAGTCTTAGATGCAAGTGTATTATTTTCAAAAACAAGCTGTGACTTGTTAGACTGATTATTTTTTATCTTTACAGTATTTAAAGAAAGATATGGAGATTACCCTGTGTATTTCTACTATAGGCGTAACCATAAGGGCAATACACCACCACGAGTTACAAGACGAACTTGCATTGTAAGAAGATGTATAAACATTTTTGAAAAAAAAAAGGTTACTTTTTTAATGGAAAGTAGTGGGATTATTATGATCTACACCAGCTATTGCCATTGTTTAAAATGGCACCCAGGCTAGTGAAATATGGATCTTACAGGCTTAAATTTTTTTTTTTTTTTTTTTTTTTTTTTGCCGGTGAATTAGTTCCACTGTATATGCTAGTTTTTTTGGATACCCTATCATTCCGATACTTGACTACACAGTAAATAATTTCTAAAATGCAGTTTAATATGATTGTATTGATTTTGACTGATTTCAGAAGGGCAACTTTGTAACAGCGGGCAATCCCTGTCCCATCTGCAGAGACAGGTTTCTTACTGTAGACTATAGAGTAAGTTATCAATGTTCTCCTAAAGATTTATTCTTTTTGGTTAGTGGGATTCCTGTTATTTGTTTCTTAATCTTTTAGTTTTGTCTTAAAACCAAGGAAATTAAAAGAATTTATCTCACTGCAGATAGTCAATTTTACGTGTGAAAATTACAGAATGAAACTACTAGTGGCAATTGCTTTTATGTTCTTCTTCAGTTCCTTTTACGCGTGAAAATTATAGAATGAAACTACTAGTAGCAATCATTTTTGTTTTTCTTCAGTTCCTTTTACGCTGGCTGTTGTCATGGCACCAACAAAGATTTTCCACTAATCTTTTTCACAAACTATTCATTGACAAATTGTGCTGTTGTAAGTCGTGACTGACATTATAATCATTTCATACAAAGTCTATGAAAAAGGATTTTTCTTTTACAGAATCTTGATCTTCTGAAACAGTTTGTGTCAGAAGAAACAGGGGAGGTGCTGAAAGTTCACCAGACAGGTATAAAATTATTATTATTATTATTATTATTATTATTATTATTATTATTATACTTCAGTAAAATTACCAAAAATAGTTTGATGCGAGGTTATGTTATCATTTGTATATGGTTATGTTGGACTTTAATTTCCTCAACTCACATGAGATTACAGAGAGAGAATTTTTTGTCTGAACATGTCTAAAATAAGAACTTTCTGATAACAAAATATCACTTCAATTTTTAAATGCTAGAGTACTAAAGAAAGTGATTCTTCTATAAAAATCCATTGAAAGTCAAATTTTTTGCCACAGAACCTGGCAAATGCCATCATATAGTTTTGAATTATATAAATATAAAAAGAAAAACCAAAGGGCATTGTTTCCAATTTTCTAAAAAATTATATGTAAATGGATATTTTCTGAATCAAGAATTTCAACCAAAATGACCTTTTCTTTATTTTAATTAATTTTTTTCTGAAGGAAATTTATGGCACATTATTGTAACTCCAAAATTATAACATTTAGTCCCTTATATCTCCAACACTGGCAGAGATAGGTCTATAGTTACTGTTGAACTTGAATAGGAAGTCATATACTGGCAATCTTAATGTGACCTTGAAATTGACCTTTGACCTACTTTTCATCATGAATTTGAATTTTGCAAATTTTGGTTCCCTTTTATCTCCAAAACTGGCAGAGATAGGTCCATAGTTACTATTGAACTTGAATAGGAAGTCATACACTGGTAATCTTACTCTGACCTTGAAATTGACCTTTGACCTACTTTACACCATAAACTAAACTTTGCACCTTTTTTAATGCTAACACTTTCAAAACTGGCAAAGATACGCCCATAGTTACTATTGAATTTGAATAGAAAGTCATAAGAGGCAATTTACTGTGACCTTAAAATTGACCTTTGACCTACTTTCCACCATGAACTGAACTTTGCAAATTTTGGTTCCCTTTTATCTCCAAAACTTGCAGAGATAGGTCCATAGTTACTATTGAACTTGAATAGGAAGTCATACACTGGAAATTTACTGTGACCTTGAAATTGACCTTTGACCTACCTTACGATGAACTGAACTTTGATTGTACCATTTTTAGTTATATATATATTTTTTTTGCATATTTTGAGAATTCTTGTTGATTGCATTTTTTACAGCTTGTCAAGCACAAGACTGGTGGGGGGTCTATACGAATGTGCTTACTCCAGCTAGTGGTACAATATTCGGAGGCGGTATCGCCTCTCTGATCCTCTGGTTAATAAGTAACTTTGTTCATTACAGGCGTTTGCCGCAAACAACAAAAGAAACTCATATTTGCAGTAGAGAAGGCAAGAGATTTAGGTAAATCTGCTGTTGTGTCTGTCACATTTACTTTCATATCTACCTAATAAGATATAGCAAGTGAAATGTATGCACGCAATTTTAAACAGTTCATGTGGTGTGTGTGTGTGTGTGTGTGCATGCGTGCATGCATGTGTGTGTGGAGAGAGAGGTAGTCTTGTCAAGAAGGAAGTGCAGTCTTTTTGGAGGATAAGGCATGGAACAAATTAAACTTTTTTAATTCCAGGATTCATGCGAGCCCCATTCCATGACCGCTATTATAATTACAAGGAATACTATCCACATCTGACTGAGAAAGATGTAGTACTGAAGACTCAGCCAAAGCCTCCACGTCCACGCGATAGACGTTTTCTGACATATATGGACATGCTGACCAAGAAATATTTGAGAGAGAAATTAAAGTACCAGTAGCACATGAGAGATGTTGTTTCATTCTGTGACTGAATATTAGTATTTCTTCTAGTAGAACTCGAAAGGTATTCCCCAACATTTGGTCTTGGCAATGGATTGTGGTACCTGTCAACTTTAACCTTGTACAAGAATATGAGCACATTGAAGTATCAGTTGGTGACTTTTTTTCATAACAAAATATATGTATTTAACCAATTTCAAGTCTTTCTGCAGATGTTGTTCACAGGGTGATCAAAAAAACTTTTCATTTTTATTTTATTATTTTTTTCATTGCTTTACTTTAAATATTTTAAGTCAGCTTGTATGTTGTAGTCATGCTGTGTCGTAAAACAGTATGTTAACTCGGAATTATACTACTAGATCAAGACAAACCCAGATGTTTATGTCTGAATAACTCGGATTAGTGCCAAACATCTAAAAATGCATAGAAACTGAACGTTATTTTCCAGGAATCCTAGACAATAGGACTTTCTACATGCCTGACATTAAAAATAGCTCCTTGAAATTGGGAATCTAGTGGTGTAGATCAAAAAAAGAAATAAAACTATGGGTTAAGTTCTTTACTCATTAGAATCTTTATTTATAATATATGACCACTAATAACCCTGTATATATTGGGTGTGACAACAATACAATTGCTGTTACTGCCATCTGGTGGGATGATGAAATGGTTGTAACTTGATTTATGGACAAGTACATACAACAAATATAATATCAAGATGCACTGTTATTTTGAAATTGCAGGCAATGTTGATATAAAAATGTACTATAATGAAAAACATGTAATATCTAAACATAATAAAATATACTGACATACAAAAGTTGATGCTGACTATGCATTAGGGATAAATGCAGTAAAAATACACAGATTGTCATCAAATTTTGAGCAAATACAAAGCACTTAACCAGGATTACACTAGTCCAGTACATCTGTCTGTTAATGGTGTACTACATATATTTTGATTAAGAACTGTAGGCAATGAAGGTTCTACCACATTTCATGAGGACTAAATAATAACCACTGCGAATACAAAATGTGTTAAACATATGGGCTGTATCAGTATGTCTTTGCCTTCCCTATACTTTGTTATCTTTATGAGTTTACTATAGAGTTTACACATACTATGATAACTTCGATAATTCATCCATCAGTTCATCTTTAAATTCTTCACCATCATCTCCATACTGATTGATATCAAGCTCAGCCAACCTTTCCATGAGATTCTCATCAATGCCAGTTTCAAACTCCTCACCACTGTTTCTTTCCTCTTTTGCTGTGGGGTTGATCTCACCCCCTGGAATGTCCACAGTTTGGAAGGTAGTGGTGTGATTGGCTCCAGTGGTTCCAGCTGGTGATGACTCCTGTTCTTCAGGCTGTGGTGACATGTGTGGCACTACTGGTGGTTCTGGATCTGATGTCTGTGACTTGGAAGGAAGTGGAGATGACTTGGCTATTGTATCATTTTTCTCCTCTGCAGGTGGTGCCATCTCACCATCTTTCTCTCCTGGTGCTGTGGGCGGTGGTGAAGGTATGGGCGTAGTCTCACGATCGTACGTAAAATGACTAGGTGGCATAGCTGAGATTGTCATTTCATCATCAGACATTTCTTCAGGAAGTGGAGTCATGGAAAGAGCATCCTTTCCTGAACTTCCTGACATGTTCCTCATAATGGTGGTTTTTGGTGATACTGATCCACGATCAACAGCTTCAGGAGACGGTGGGGGTGGAGCGGGAGAGTCCTCCATCATTTTATCTTTGTCAACCAAATGTTCTGGCGGCTTCATCATTGAAGACAAACTTGACTTCTCCGATTTGCTGTCAATATTCACATATCGTGAATCTGTGTTTGCACTGGATGAAGGCTTTGAGCTGGAAGGTGGTGGGGGTGGCGTAGGGGATCCCTCATAGTCCTCCTCATTAACCTGAGGCCAAGGTTCAGGGGATGGTGGAGGTGACTGACCCTCACTATAATCTGGAGTACCAGTCCTGTGCACACTGGAGATATCAGTCTGTATAGATCTAGCACCTGTCACCATTAACGTGTTCAGGGAACTCTCCCCATAGTCCATAGGCAGGTGTGGGATTGTGATGGAAATAGGAGACTTATTTCCCCATTGTCCACCAGGCCTTCTAGATGAAGTCACTGTAGATTGTGTCTTGGCTGATCCCTCGCGGGAGGCACTTGGCACCTCTGGTGCAAATCTCACACTGCGTTTGCTCATGCGCCCTGCTTTTAGTGAGGCACTGCCTGGAGGAATGGGACTCTCTTTGCCCTGTTCTGGGGGCTCTGGTTCATTTGATTTTCCTGTGGAATAAACAAAAAACCAAATTAACAAAGTCTGTGTATGGCAGCTGATCATAGTGCAGGTAATTGTTTTAGAGATAAGTATGAACCCCTTAAGTCATTTTGGGGTGGGGGGGGCACCTGCACTTTTCTCTGTTTAGAAAATAAAACATTTATCAAATGAGCCTTAGAAACCTTTATCAAATTAATAAATGACATCACTGAAAATCCCTACAGCTCTTAAGATCTTGGCTGTGAGAAAGAATGTACAGTTGTATGAAATTTTTGTATGAAAAAGATTTACACCTAAATTATTCTGTTCTCCACAAATATGGCTTGGGAACAACAAAACTTGTGTACTGTGAAAAAAAATGGAGTCTTCTAAACCTACCAGCTCTTTGTCTCTCTGCAGATGCAGTGGCCTTGTCTTGAGCTGCACCCCACTCTGGTTCCTCTGATGATGTCGTGGTGTCTGGTGGGGTCCCACTCACTTGGGCACGAAGTGTCATGCGCGTGGTTGGGGGTGTCTTAGGGTAAGGAGCCGACTGAGGAACCAAACTATTGTAACATGACAGAAGTTCTTGTTGCTGGGGAAAGAAAACATAATTTTGAAATATACATATTTTTAATGTTTGTAAACACATGCAATGTACAGTAGATGGATAAATTTAATGCCAGCATAAATATAACTTTTTAAATGTCAGCTTTATGTCAGAGACTGAATTTTCATACTATGAGGCATTTTCCACATACCAGTTGCATGGCTGTTGGAGTAACAGACTCCTCACGACTAGAGCTGCCCTCTGCCTCCAGGGAGCTGTCCATGACAGAGTCTACACTGGGCATGGTGACGTGGATGGTGCTGCCCTCTGATGGTGGTGCTCTGGACTCTGCAACACTACTGCTCTCTGAGGGAGGTGGAGTGGGCAGAGGACCTAGATATAACATGTACACAGAAAGCTGTATAAAAATTAATTTTAAAAGCATTGAACAAGTATAATTAATTGTCAAAAAATAGTTTATCTGTGAAAACCCCATTTCAGTCTTGCCTGCAATATATACTATATGTTTTTGTTGTTATTCTTACCAAGTGTGAAGTCAAAGTTTTGCCTGCTGTACATGAAGGGCTTTATGGTTCCCTTAGGAAGCTCTGGTAGACCCAGGGAGATTGATGGAAGCTTAGTTTTGTGGGTGCGGGTACTCTTAGACCCTAAAAAAAGAAAACAGTTATTTGGTTACTGATCATACTGACTATGGTTGTAAGAATCCTGATGAAAAAAGACACTATATTTGTACAAATAATACTGAGAAACAAAAAAAAAAATGGTAGAAATTTGATGTAGAAGAAATAAAAGTAAAGAAAGGCAAAAAAACTACAGATTTGAAAGAAAATTTAGGTGGTAATATATTAAAACATATTCTATGTTCAAAAAACCTTTATTCTTTTCATTGGTTCTGCAGAGAAATATTCCTACCTGTTGCAGAAGGCAAGGGCTTTCTGATATATTTTGGCGACTCGGCTCTGGCAGACGGAATCTCGCGGACTGACCCAAAATCAGACATTCTAGCAATACGGTCTTCATCAGCCTCACTCTCTGGGTTGTTGACAGAGCTCATCTTCTCCAGAACTGCATAGTCATCCAGTAGGTAGACCTGAGGAGAGAAATTTGGGCAGAAATTTGAATTTAATTCCTTTTTGTCATCTGGTTTCTTTTCGACATAATTTTTAAAAACAGTTTACAGCAGTTTTTCCACAGATTTCATCCATGTGCAAGGCATAGTTTGGATTTTATTATAGAAAGAGGGTAACTATATTTTAGGGTCTTTTCACACATAAAACTGATCTAGACCAGACAGCGTCTGAAAACATTTATGATTTTATAATGATAAAACTGGAATTCTATCAGATGAGAAAATCATTTATTGTTTTGATGGTCTGTCCACCATCCATTCAATACCTGCTTAGTTGTTAACAAATCTGGGTTTTTCATGTTCTTCTCCCTGATGTCACGCAGGTTCAACTTCTTCTGCTGTAGTACATCGCTGTTGGCCAGGGTGAGGGACACCTTGTCCTTAGGGAGGCTAGGGACTAAAGTGAGCAAGAGATCCCTGATCTTCTCCTTGGACAAAAGACTTCTGGAAAATAAAGTGCAAACAAATGAGATGAATGTTAAAAGGAGTCTGATGAAAAATCATATATCAGTATCAATACCTCATTTCCACGCAGTTCTGTCTCCAAATGCCACGAAACCTCGATTGGTTTTAAACTAAGTCACAAACCTTTGGGTTATCTCCCTTATCTAGATTAGTAAGGAAGTGGAGAAAGGCAGTTGCTTAATATTTTCTTTGGCTACCAGTAGTTATGCAAAGTTAGTGAACATATTCCTAAAAGTTTCTACTATATTTCCACACTTCATAGGAAAAAGGATGCTTATCATAAGAAGGGTGTTTTTATACTACGAGTTTTCTTTTACTACAAGCCGACTTTACTCACAAGCACTCTAAATGATCCTCCTCCTTTAACTACAACAAACTCAAAAATATTTTTGATTTCATAATAATGTATAGTTCACACAGCTTACTTTGTGTCTTCATTATCCTCCAAGATTTTCTCAAGCACTTTTGTTGGAAGGTGCAGTAACTCTAACAACCTGTAATAAAAAAGAAGGGAGTTAACTACATGTACATCATCCCTTCCACAGAGTTAATTACATCCTCCTATTCACACACACACACAAACACACACACACACACACACACACACACACACACACACACACACAAACCAAGCACGTGTACATTTGCAAACACCTGCATGCAAACACACATTCACACACAACTGTTAAATGACATTTGTAAAATAACGGCATGTTACTGATGATATACTGGCATATAGTATGTTAACTTACATTTCCATATCTCCTTTCTTTTTCATCCCTGACATCAGGTGCTGTTTATATGGCTGACCTCCAGTTGGTGACTTAGTGCTTCGAGGAGACATCTGCACTTTTCTCTGTTAAGAAAATAAAATAGTTATAAAATGAGTCTCAGAAAGTTCTTGTTAAATGAACAGATATAATGTAACAGTAAATCATTGAAAATCTCTTTGAGCTTTAAAGATCTCAACTATAAGAAAGAAACGTGCAGCAATATGAACATATTGTACAAAAAGGTCAGATATTTTACTATCAATGTAATTAATTAATCATATAATGAATCTGCCCATTCTTATAAAGCTGATACCGTTTTAACAAAATATTCACTGGTAACATTTACAAGCATTTGGAAAAAGTATGTAAGAACAAGATACACAGAAATGAGTTCATGTACCATTGAGATATAGAATCTCTGTAACTTTGAAAAAACATAAAAATGTGAATATTAAATAAATGAGCAGAAAAATTAAAGGAAAGAGAGTAAGAAATAAAAGTTTACTAAAACCTAGTTTAAAAAATCTCAAAATCATTTGTGCTAAATACCCAGGAAAAAAGCTAATAAACAAAAGGCAACATTTTCTCAAGTAAAATTAGAAAAATAATATAAGCTTTAACAGATGAGCTCAGAAAAAAAATCTTATTTATGAAATAAATGGCTTGCTAACAGCTAAAAGTTGCTACCTGGAACCTTCAAGTTTAAACACAAACTATAGGTGCTAAAAGATATCTATTCATTTTCTAACTGAAAAATCAATACAAAAAAAGCTGGAACAAATCAGATAAGATTTGATGAGTAGAGCACATAGATAAGGGTTCTAAATGGGTTAGTAAAATTATCATCTAGCTAAAAATTTCCTAGACTAAAATAAAGATGCTACAGCTAATGCTATTTTAAACGTCATCCACACAAATATACCTTCAAAACTGGCCAAAACTCTGCCAACTGTTTATCAATAAAACAAACAACATATTGTGTTAGTTAATCTGACATTCCTGTTAAATAATTGCATTTCAAACTGGACAGTGCATACTTCAAAAATATACACAAACTTAGAAAATTTACATGAAATCACAGAAACATACCAACCAACACATGCTGTTGATATTAAGCATTGATCAATTGATAAATGACAATTAATTCTAACAAACTATTCAATAGTAACAAAGTCTCACAATTCACAATGACAAATAATTATGTATAACTCTCCGCACCTTGGATTTTCTACAACAGAAATTTCACAAAAAAGTAAAAAGTGTTATAATTTTTCTTATCAATAGAGCATGCATTTAAACACAGCAGACAAACCATCATTACAAAACTACAAAATACATGCCACAGTTGTTATAATGAAAATTAATACATACTGCTGCCTCGGCCTCTCGTAATAGTTCAATCTCTCTTGGCAGTAGGTCTTCAGTAACATCTCTGGCAGACAGGGGCACTGGACCTTTATTCAGATCCTTTATCTGAACTCTGGAATGACAGGGGCACAATAAGATATACATGACGTATGTATGTAGAAATTTTTAAAAAACTGTCATAACTTTTTATCACTAATCTCAACTGACTGGAAAAAAATCAAATCCATGTGAATTTATCATAAGTTCTTAAAAGTTGGGTTGCCAAGGTGACAACTTACTCTTCCTTTGGATCCAGATGCTTTTTCTTTGTCTCCTTTTTACTGCTGGGGTTGGGTACCCACACATAATGCTGTCTTGGTAAAAAAGTCTCTTGCCACTCTGCCGACAGGTCAGTGGGTTCAAACATCTCCTGAACCTCAACATGATTGACTCTAGGGGGCAGCACACGTCTGCTTGGTGACCTCTGGCTGCTGGCTGGTGTTGCTTGCGGAACTTTAGTCTGTGGAAAACTGGGTTACAGAAGAAAAGTTGAAGCTTATTAGTATAAGTTGTAAAATGATTAATAACAAAACTGCACATACTAATACCAGATGCTTTTTGTTGATGATACAGAAAATGCTGCATATGTTTGAAATACAAATTGACATGACCCAAGACTACACATGTATATACAAAAAATTTTTATCTACCACTTAGAGGCATACTATACACTTTCATATAATAATAGCACTTTTTTTTTCTGGAACTTTCAATAATTTTTCACCTCAATACATATATCACTCATCAAAAACTATTGAGAAAAATATGATCCATAAACCAGTTTCTGCTTTTACTGTAACAGTTACAACTGAAATTCACCAGTCTTCACATCCACTAAGTGACTCTGTTAGTGACTGAAAAACTGTCAACTTAGAGCTCAAAATCAACTTACAGACTGTATTTGTGTTGACAGTTTTGTCAACAATGCACCTTTATTGTACAAGATGATCAAGTAAAAAAATTTTTTAGATACATAAAGGTATATTATTAATTTCTATTTGATGCCTTTAAACAATTAATATCTTAAGAAATTTATTTTCAAGAACATTGATTATAGGTTTCTATGTTGCGCTACAAATACGCATGTCAACCTACACGAAGAAACCGGCCATTACCTTTTTTCTCTATTCATGAGTGAAGGCAGCATTGTAGATCGGCTCTGTGGTTCCTTGACTTGCCAAGAGAAAGGAAACTTCTCCGCAGAATCATCCCCATACTCATCTAGGATGTTACGCACCTTCAATGTGGGGAGACCTAAAAAGACAACAGAATTTGATGTAGAAGAAATCATTGTGTTAATTGCCATACCTTCTTGCCAAACCTGAATCATACACTTAAAATGTTCAAAAATAATAACATGATAAAGTTCAGTATTGTTTTTCTGTGTGTTTGAGTGTGTATTTGTAAAAGTGTGCATGTACATTTACATACATGAATGTATGTCAAACATGCAACTGTGCAATCCTTTATCCTTCTCAAGTAAAACAAACAAACAAATAAATAAATAAACCTAGTGAAATATCAAGTCCTTACGAATCTTTTTTGTTACCCAGGGCATTCCAATCTCTTCTCATCAACTCAATGTGATGACATCTATGTTAAGCTTCACTACTTTCAATACTATAGCCTACTCTCTATCTCTATGGTCACTAACATAAACACGATGTTTCATTCCTATTTATATATATATACATGTGTGTGTACAATCCAAAAGGAATACTGTGCTGAGGTAAGCAGATTATCAAGTTCATAAATTGGCTCCTTAGCAAAGCTTCATCGACGTCAACCACATTAATGAGAATTTCAGAAAGATCATTAATTCTTGCACAGCCTCGTTTGAGAACATTTGCTTTAACCATTTGCCAAGGATAATTGTCACTTGGATGAGTCAAGTACAATGAAGTACATGAGAAAAAACATCGATTATGTAACTTTTGGCATTGGTCTTGTTCGGTGAAAAACAGCTTTATTACTACCTTTCATCAAAAAAACATGCCGTGTGCGTCAATACTTATATGTCTAATTTGTTTCCACGTCAATCAAGTTCAGATACATATAAATATAAGCTTCACTGAATAAGCTTCATTGAAGGATCAATTTCACCCATGTACATTTCTGAAAATTGTATTTTCCAGGAAATAATGAAATCAATATCATTGACTGAGATTAGATGTATTTGCTGAGTCACAAAAAAAGATAGAAAGAAAAAATCTTAATTTCTAAGAACCTGATTTTTTGCACTGAAAATGGCAAATTCTACCATTTACTTAAATTAAGGAATCACACTGATAATTTATTCTTTTATCCAAATATCTTCAAGAGTTGGGTGTGTGTGTATTGTGCAAAGGTAAAATTTGTTCATCAAACCAAACTATGTTAAAAAAATAATTGAAGGTACATACAAAAAATGCAGCAAAAATGCATGCACAGTAGCTAAACTGTGTGTTTTAATAAGTAAACTGGCTTCATAAACAATAATTGCAGTTTGCAACTTCAAGTTGCAGGTTTATAACTGCAAGCACTGGATTAATGACCTAAAAAGTATTTCCATGGTCTGATCATAAAGACATACTTGCCAGCACCACAATTAAAAAATTGGCTAGTTTAATACAGGTCTCTCACGGTTAACAAATGGGTTCTTTTTTCTTGACTGCAAAGTATTGATACGAGAGTAATGCTCTCTCAATAATCTCCAGCACATGCAGAATGTGCTGAATGGGACACTGAAGGGACTTGCAGTTTGTAGTTTATATTGCAGAGCTCACAAAACTATTTATTTGGCTCAGAAAAGTATTCATTTGATGGTATTTTGACATTGTGTTTCTAATTCTTGAATTCAGTGATTGCAATGAAAAATCTGGTAAACATCTAGCCTGTAAAAAGATAGTTATCTCAGTGCCACCAGATTTTATATCTGAGCTAGCAGTAAGAGAAGGAGACCAAAGAGATTGTAAGTCATCATGGACCTCACCTCCTTCCTCTTCCTCCTTCTCCTCCTCTCCACTGTCTGACTTGGCTTTCCTCTTCTCTGCAGCCCTGGGGAGTCCACGCTCCAGCCTCCGCTGCGAGGCCCAACACATAGGATGCTGGCACAGAGGACCACAGGAAGTCTCATCCAGGCTGTGGAAGGGGGTGGATGGGGCACTGTGGAAGGGGCTCACACCCACAGGGGCACTGTTCAGCCTTAGTTTAACTGGCATTGTTAGACTGTGGACACTGTCTTGTGCTTACATTAGGCTACTGTAAAATAAATTGTGTTTGATTCATTAGAGTGGAACATATATTGTTATGGTAATGAAAGAGGACTTGCCCTTACTGTTGAAAAACAATGTACTGGGTTCTAGTGGGTTACATTTCAAAATTACATGTATGTGCTAAGCACTCATATTTCTTAGCAGGTTACAAGAAAAGTTGTATCCTCAGTTAAATTCTGATTGCTTATGCCACGATACTGCAAGGTTCTTCTAACAACAGCTAAAAATCAGAGTTATTACCACTACCAATATTTCAAGCCCTGACTATGAAAAGACTCTTTTATCAAGGAATGAGGCTACAGGTGTTATTACTTATAATAGTCTCTACTGTATGTACCATTAATTAGCCCCCTCCCTCATATAGCCTCTACATAGTTATCCCTCCCTCTCTACTCCCTCTATGTTACATCCACAGAAAAGACAAAAAGAGATCAGAGACAGTGGTTTAATTTCATATCCTTTTCAGACCTGCTCTTTAGATTTTTATATACACAGCCTCCAGAAATTCCCAGTATTGTTTTCTGGTTTTAGTATCCATTATTTTTTCAATGATAGGTTTGATAAATATCTCATGTATTGTTGTTCCCTAGACAGCAGCTATTACCAACCAGTATAACACCCAAATTCCCTGACGCCTAACTCCCTGACAAAGGTTTGAGACACTGCAATACTGGAGTATTAATAACGTTTTCTTAGCTGTTGTTGGAATAAAATATCATGACCATATTATATGGCATATATAAATTTGAATGACACTGATGAAATACTTTACTAAAGGCTGCAGTTTTTGATCCAGTTCAAAGGGAAACATCAAACAGAATGATTTCCACATATAAAATTTTTTTAAGGAATAGGAGCAAAATATTTATATTTGTTGATCATAATAGAGAGGTCTTTGACACAGTCACACTGATACTAGTAACTATTTTTGGTCACAACTGACATCATCTCTTCATACTAGTAATTAATGCCAAGGATTCAGTGAACTATACATGTACTGTACAGTAGTCCAGTACTGATGATGTGACACTGTATGGACCTATCATGTTGCAGGACTTACAGACATCATATTCAAAATATTTACATGTCATTACCAGTACGAAATTGTAATTAAGGAAATGGAATTCTCTCAATTTGAGACCCCATACAGCAGGTTATACTGACAAGATATATATGTGATGAACCTTTGTCAAGATCACCAGATGATCTGTGATTACAACTACCTGTAACTGTTAAAATATCAAAAAGAACAGTTCTTGTATTTTTAATTTTTTTCACTTCAAAAAATATTTTCCGCAGAAAATAATTTATATACTGTATTTTAGCTGACACTATAACTTTTTTTAATTGAAGTGTATGCTATCCAAAAATAAAAAAATTATAATTATTAGTTTAAAAATTTTAACTATTTTTAACATTCCCAGTCATTATGATACTCCAGTTGGTGGGCTGTGGCTCACCACAAGCAGAGAGAAATAAAAGAGACAGAAACATGCACTGATTTACAACGTTGCTTTTCCAAATATTCATTCTCAATATAAAAGCTTTTAGTTCTTACCTTCATTTCCATACTTTAATTATCTTCATCGTTGATATTTATCTTCAGTTCTGATTTACCTTAGCGGCAATTTATTCCTGCGAAATGTAATTAATTATGAACTTCACCTCGCTTGTCACATGCACACCGTTGTAAACAATCCTCCATATTTTTATGACGTCACATGGTAACTTGTTCTACGGAGATCATGTTTTGCTAGTTGTTACTGTTTCAAAAAACACTTATTTAAGCTTTTGTAACCAATAAATATTTTATATGATTACATTTTGTATAATTTTGATGCAAAATAATTTGGAATTATACTTACGAAAAAAAAACTAATTAAAGCATATTTCAAATGCGGATCACTTCATCCAGCGAAACCACGTGATATTACTCATCCAAGATGGACTTTAAAAAACTTGCGGCGGATGCTTCTACTGTCTTTAATCGTGCCGTGCAGGTAACAAATGCAATTTGTATAACAAGAAATTATAGAATTTAAACATATATGTTTTAACACTTACGCTGTAATACAAAGCTTTATTTTGTTTGACAATATTTCTAACAACTTTCTTCCAGCAACATTTGACGTTTTGGCGATTTGTCATTGTCAAGTAGAAAGCACTAGAGTTGGTGTGTTTTCTTTTAAATGTAACAAAATTCATTTAAAGATTTTTAGGCAAGCGATGTGTTGTAATATGGAATTTAACTTAGATCTACACAAGTTTGAGAAACATCTCATTCCCCTGGCGTGTAGTGGCCTCGTGTACAGTTTCACTTACGTTAATTTGTTTGACATGTTTAGTAAATTGAGAAATAAAGTTGCCTGGGGGAGGGGGAGGGGGTAATTTTCATATCCTTTAAAAAACTTCCCCGAAAGCTGGAAAAACGTGCTACAGATACGTTCTTTTTTTTCATTGTATTATTGAAAATGAAATTGTTGTATTTCAGTCTGTACTCATACTAAGTATTTCAGTCTGTACTCATACTAAGTATTTCAGTCTGTACTCATACTAAGTATTTCAGTCTGTACTCATACTAAAATATGCTACACAGCGCAGTACACTAGGAAAAAACTGTACCCAAGTAAACATGACAAAAATAGCCCTGGGCAAGACAATAGGATAATATAAAAGAAAAGCATACTAGAAAGTATTTTATATTGCTGGTCCAACTTAACAAATCAGTACGATGTGTCTATGACAGATCTATCATCAACCATATTGCCAAGAAGTGCTACGTACTACATGTAGATTTGTTTACTTTGATCTTTAAACATTTTACCCGAGCAGCAATCAAATTTACATTAAATGTTAATTTTAATTTGTATTTAAATGAGTGAATAAACTCTCATCTTACTTCCATCACTATCTTCAGAGTTGCTTGCATTTCAAAACTTTGTCAGGATGGTGTATGGCTAGTTTGCCTGGAAGTGATAAATTGGATTACTTATGGCATTTATCTTTTATAGATAATAAAAAAAGTATTACTTGTGCTTATATAAGTTACAGAATAAGTTATTAATGTACTTTTAAGTTTAATTTTAGGTGTTTAATAACTTGCGATACCCTTTGTCCCTTTTATTTTACAGTCCAAGAACTGCTAAGAATTTGTAAAGCCTTTTGCAGTTTGTATTCTAGGCAACAGACTGGTTAACTACAAAGAAACTGGCCCTTTATAGTATTGATTTTTCACTCGTGTGTATTGAACAGTTTTTTTTTTTAATTTGTGTTCATTGATGTTGAAGTCAAAAAGAAAAAGGAGAGACAGATACAGCAGTATGCTTAATAACAATGCAAAAACTATAGTTTTCCACTAATCAACTACTACAAAAACAATATAATGTAGGTGCAGTACCCCAATATAATCCTTTGCTGGCAAGACATTGCTTCTTCAAGGTGAAGATTATTAATTCATCAGAAAATATTACGTTCAAATCTTCTGAGTACAAGCCAGTGGAAATCTGTCACAAACAAGAGTGTCACAGCACTGCATAATGCCAGACAAAAATAGAATACTTGTAAGAATCTTATCATGTGAAGGGGAGTTAACCCTAAGAAATATGGGCAAAACTCTCTCTGCAGAGAATTTCATCTTAGAAATCAATATAAAAATAACAAAACATGAATAATACATATACTGTTGTGCAAAAGACAGCAATTCTACAAAACCAGCCAGAAAAATATATATATTGTGGATAAATTTTGCTAGCTTTTATTTGTTAAAATAGTTGTAAGAATTATTGAAAAAGAAATTGCTAAGTTTCAGTTGATGCATAATGCACTCGAGTGAAAATATTTCATTGCCTGTTAAATTAGTCTGTGTTTTCACCAGATATGCTTTCAACATTTTTTTTTATCTTTTGTTAAATTATTTTTTCACCTTACTGTATTTCATTTTTGGATTTGGTGAAGTAAGTGACCCTAAATACCTTTATCCTGTTTTTCATTCCGACAACTGTCCATAGTATTTCAGCTGGAAAATTTTAAAAGGGGTGAAACAATGGTAGGCAGATGATGTCTTATACTAAAAAGAAATGTCATATCACTGGGTTAAAGTGTTATTTTAGTGTCCAATAAGAATATAGTAATAACTTCTTTTTGTATTCATTTTAGTTTACTGAAGAAAAGTTTGGCCATGCGGAAAAGACTGAACTAGATGCTCACTTTGAGAACTTAATGCAAAGAGCTGATACTACCAGAATCAACACAGAGAAAATACTTGGTGCTACTGAGAGTGTCCTGCAGCCAAACCCAAGTAAGAGTTCACAGTAGTCTAGAATATCAACAGAATGTTTTTCACAATAAATATATTTTGCATTTTGTAAATGTGAGTTGGAATGATACAAATGTCTTCACAAAATTATATGCATCTTTCGTCTTGAAATTTTGGATAAGCCAGTGGTTTTCTTTTTTAACTGTGGATGCTATGAGTGTATTATCCCAAACACCAACTGTTTACATAAGATTTTTTTCTCCAGACACTTTTTTCTAATCATTAGAAAATGTGTGGTTTTTATTGTTTACCCCACATTGCAAGAGATAATAAGTCTTAACAATTGTTTTCTACAGATGCTCGTGTGGAGGATTTTCTCTATGACAAATTAGACCGTAAGAAAAGAGAACGTCAAAACAACTTGGAAAGATTAGGTCAGTTTATGGTGGATGCTGGCAACGACTTTGGTCCAGGGACTTCATATGGTAAGTAAGCTTGTGTGTGTGTGTGTGTGTGTGTGTGTGTGTGTGGGGGGCTTTTTTACTGTCTGGAAGTGTTTTGTTTCCGTGTTGCAAAAAAATATTTAAAATAACACAACTGAAATTGCTAATAGGACTCTCTGATAAATATTTTCACAGTATTCAATTTCCATTGAACATTGCAGCTCTTGTTGCATTAAAAGTTTGTCATGCATAAAACAGATCATCTTCAAGTCTTTGAATTAATCAAAATCTTGAAGGTGGCGATGCTGAAAAATAATCAATGCAACATGTTCCAGAATTTTCCTAGAACTCATGAATGCATCATGGTATTAAAGTGGCTTCATTGATTGAATGATTCTATTTCAAAACATCTTAATTCTTTGGGCAGTGCATT